GATACACASCTGCTGAAACCTAGGTTTTGACAACATACCACAACACACATGCAGAGCACTCTACCTTCCCTGGTTAGACCTCAACAGTGTTTATTTCTACAGGATTTTAAAAAATTATGGCAAAACATCAGCCTTAAAAGATCTTCTTTTTTGGGGATTCATGTTCCACATCCTGAACTCTTAAGCAGAGGTTGGGGTGACAAAGTTAGTCCGCTTGTAAAGCAGTGCTGCCATCACAGGGCAGACATGAAGCCAACTGGGACTCCCCAGCTCAGAGTATCAAACCTGCCCTGGGGTATAAATAGATTTTAAGGGCCTTTCTTTTCCACCATCCTTTGTTTTGGGCTCCCTGAAAATACCTTCTACACAAAAAAATGCAATCCAGTAAGGGGACATTGGATTATCTACTCATTAATCAGAAAACATGAATGCCCTATTTCAAAGATAAAAATCTCAACATTTACATTTCTTAAATGCTTTTTTTTTTTTTTTTTGAAAGCTTGTGAATACTGTAATAAATCACAAATTATTCCTAAGAGGAGCATAGAAATTTTTTGATACAGCATCAGATTCAGTTTGGATAAATTATCTTCTTATGTCTTTATTTTGTTGAAACTTTAATATAAAAATACTGAAGGTTTTTTTGAAAAAAGATGCTTTAGATACCCAACTCTTTTCTCTGTTCCCTTCCTATTATATTTGTATCCAAACAATTTAATTCTTTGCAAAGCATGTTAATTCTTTCCAACATTTTTAATACTACAAACCAACTCAACACAAAATGCAGATAATTAAAAAAGTTACTAAAACTAATTGTCACCCACAAAATGAACCCATTAAAACCTTCCTGCAGAATATCAGAGTAATTCCCAAGACAACTACAACTCATCTAAAAATAAAAGCCATAAAGGAAGCAATATTTGRAGCTAGGTAGACGAAAGGGAGTTGATACTAACTCTGCTTGCAAATGGAAAAATATTAATGAATTTCAACTCTGGCAGAATGCTTCGGTATTTCCTGCAAAGGACATAAGTCTTCAGGTATGGTAAACCTAATGTCAAACTGATCAAAACCTGAGCTACTTCCCTGTCCTAACTTTGTAATGTATTAGGTAAGGCTGGAAGAAAGTCAAATCAGTATATTTTGAAGACAGAATAAAAAAGATACAGGTTGAAAACTAAGGCTCAAATATAACTTTTGCACCTCACCAGTGTGGGGTCTTTTCGAAGAAAGAAAAACATTGTCTGCAGGAACAATTCTAACAAAACATCCTCTCAAATACATATCTTTCATATACTAGAACTTGCAAAAGAAAGAGACAAGCAGGCTAAAAAGCTTTTACAGCTATTTGGAGTGAGAAGTTACCTTATCCATGGAAAGCTTTGCTACAGTTTTATTAAGATCTAAGGGTASAATAGCACCCTACAAACACACGAGCAGCATGGGACCAATCTGTAGACTATGTATGTTCCAGGTTCTGGCTGGCAAAAGATCCTGCTTTCTTCTTTTTCTTTTTAAGAGCTGACAGTTTTCAAGACAATTATTTTGAGAAGAATGCATGCACAGAAACAATGTGTTGCTAAGGCTGAAACTTCTTTTATTTAAAAAATGGTTGCTGTTTGTAAGCTATTGTACATTTTCTGAGATGGAAGGACATCACACCCCTCCAAACACTGAAATTTAACTGTTCAGCCCAAAGCCACAGAGCTGGTTTCTGAATAGAGTGAAAGAGAACTGACTGTTACAAAAGTCAAACTGATCCTGTCTTGAAAATTTTCYCATTTCTCATGTCATCAACAAAAGACATAAGAACGTCTCCTTGCTGTTCAGAGGGATCTGCTGCAATTCATTAGGGAGATCAACCCAGCACATCTGCAGGATAACCAAGGCAAYGCTTTTGATGTGCAGGGGTACACCATTTACTACACAAAAGTTTTCAAACTACATTTTGGTCTTTACTCACCTCAACTTTATCCCAACATAGTTTTACTTAAAATTTTAATAAAATTATTTTTTAAAAAATCTGAGGAATTGCAATGTGTGCCTAACATGAAGACTGTGTAATCCCAAAGTTACACCACACACTAGGGCATGTTTCCACACTAAAGCTGAAGCTTCTCACTCATATAATCTCCCATTCAGGCCATATTTATTCTATTCAGATCTGTAATGAACATAAGAGGTTTACCTGTGCCAGTGCCTCACCACCTTCACTGTAAAGACAAATGAGCAGCAGGCAATTAATGTTTTAGGAACAAACACAACAGCTGGTCCAGCAGAAAGGGGAAGTTATCTCTCTTCTAAACCTGATAGCAGAGTTTGAGATACAGGGCAGTAAAGTGGGGGCTGCTGTAGGGTTCCCTGTAAGAAAAAATTCCTTATAAAATATGCAGAGATGACTGGTTCCTGAGATGGACAACAGAAATTAGATCACTCAGAAAGTTACATTTAAATACCAGATGTCATGGTAGTTTCACACAAAACACAAAATTGAAAGAGTAGGTAAAAAGGCAACAGATGCTACTTGCTACATCAACCATCAGAAAAAAAAAAAAAAAAAAAAGGCATTCCGAGGTCTACAGCCAAAGTTCAGCAGCCCCAGAGATGAGATCAACACTTTATAACTGATCAATTTGATCTGTTAAAAGTGTGGCTTTGCTATCTCTGAAAATTATAAAAAAATAAGTCAGCAATATGATGTGAAAATTATAGCAATAGCACCTTGCATTTGTTGGCACATTTTACACTTCTTTTCATGTTTCAAAACCCAAATATAATTCAATCACATCAAATTATGTGGTTCACCAAGCTAACATTCAGTGGTTATTTTGGGGGACAAAATGCTAATGAAAATTAAAAACTGTTCATGTATGTGTCTATAAATCAGAGACAACTTCCTGTGTTGTGTCTGTACATCAACAAATCCACCATAAAACTCTCGAAAACTGAAGTTCATTGTACCATGGTCCATAACAACAATGAGCCTCTGAGAATGTAAAATGAGAAAATCAAATGGTTTTCTTACCCACATCTGTAATATTTTAATAGAGGGGAATAGGCAACTGCTAGTTATTACTGCATGAGACAGTTTTAACATCTGTTTGAGCTTTTTATGTTCATTAGCTGTTAGTTTCCATTCTGTTCAGGATTTTTTTTAAATTATGGGTTAGACTGACCATGTAATAGAATAACTTAATTTCACGCTGTGCTACAGTTCAGCTTCAATCTTCTTTGAGAAGATACTTCTTACTGAGTGTGAAGTTCCTTCAGTCTTTCTGTCCTCCAGCTTTGTTGCTTCCTTGCTTTAATAGGGAAATGCCWGGATAATAACCAGTTTTATGGGGTTTTGTCAACAAGAGACAGGAAAAAGTGGTTAGAAGACACATAGAGCCTTTTCACAGTATCATGCCTAATTGCAAAACATCACATTTAGTAAATGTCATACTTAACACATCTAACAGAACTGCATCATGGATAACCTTATTCTCAAAGCCATACTTTCATGTGAGGTAAAGGTCTTTTCTTTGATTCCTTTAATTCTCTGACCTGGAATTCCTCCCCTGCCCTTGTCTGGCCCATTTTGGCCCTATAATCAAAATGAGTAACAGACATCGTTTGTATCTTGTTCCCATAATGTACTAAAACCAGTTTTAGTTGGTAAATGAGGTTTAATAGCTATTTTCCATATCTTTTTCCAGTTACAACTGCTTTGCAGGAGTACAGTCTACAGATTTCAAAAAAGCGTCAAGAGGTGTGAATTTAAAAATTAGTAATGCAGAATTCATACAGCCATTTCTCTAATAAGGGAGTAAAAATGGGTAAAATTAAAATGCAATTTATATATGCTGTGCAGAAATTGGACTCAGAAGTGCTAGGTTTCAGAGTGATGTAGCAGCCTACATCCAGTCCTGGAGTGTATGGGGGAAAAAAAACCAATGATTTGTCATTAAAGGAAAAACACAAACCACCTCTGCATATGTTCAGTTAAAAAATATGAACCSACCTATTCTCAGGAAAATCTGTCTCCAAGCAAAACTGAAACAGACAAAGTAGAATAGTTGTTTCCTCTAACACTTTTTCCTGTTTGTTCATTTACTCATTAGCTAACATTCCTTGCTATCTTTGCAGCTGGAGAAAACATTATTTCCTTAGAAGTCATCAGGAAGATCACTGGAGAATAAGGTCTATAAATTAGTCCCTTAATTTCTCAAGTAATTCCTTAAATTAATATTTTAGGATTATTTCTGCTGCTCCAAACATCATCTTTGGAGAGCTTGAAGCTTCTAATATTACTAAGTCCATTTATGAAAACATCTAAGTATGTATCTTCCTCTCAGGAAGTGTCATGTATCACAATAGCCTAAAACAGCAACACAATGTATTCTCTGGGCAGCTGCAGAGCAGCTGGATTATGCAAGATATTACCATTTGTAATTTATTTATTGGTAAACCACCCAACAATAATCATATTGATGCAACAATACTCATTGCAAGTCTTATGAAATGAGTATTTGACCAGCACTGCTTAGGTGCAGAACAGAGGGCACAGATCTCCCACTATTCAAATTCCCTCCTGTAAAGTTTTTCTGCAGAATTTGGAAGCTTACACAAAAGCACACATCTGCTGGTGGTGCGAAATGCTCTTGATTTGGTGTGTTTCTTTGAATTTAAATGTTCAGATTACTTACTACAAATAACTGAGCCTTAGAATGGAAGAAACTGAAATATACCCCCTCCTGGTGTCTCATGCACTGTAGATCTGGAGGATTACCTCAGCAGTAATTTTGACTCTAGAAACAAATCTAGCAAACAAGGCCCCCTGTGCTGAGGTTATGAAATCCATTACCATATATTTGAGGGTATTTATTATGGATGATGTCTAATCTGGTGCTACGTGTTCCTTCATGGCTCTGATATGTCTTTCAGCTTAGCTTCAGAAACATCCAAGTTTGTATGCTTTAAGCATGCTCTGCAACAGAACCCCAAACTTAGCAGGTGGATAAAAYTCAAAATGTCATGGTTTTTATTCAAACTAAAATACAGAAACAAGTTCAGTCCCCAGTTTCTCTATTTGAATGGACCAGAATTACATGCTTGCTGCAGGAAACCAATATAGTGGGATACTCATTAGATTGGAATTTTAGAAACCACATCACAGACTAAAGAAAGAATCCAAGAGAAAGATTGATAGATCACATAATACAACCCCTGYTATTTTGTAAATAGTGACATTCTCCTACTCACAAAAAATTTTCAAAGCCAATTTTACACAACAAAAGTTTTGTACTTCTCTGTAAAGAAAGTAAGAGGTTTGTTAATTAGAAATACCATATTTTATAAAGCTAAGTTTTAATTTCTGATCTAAATAAACCGCTGGCTCGAGAAGAGTGGAAAAATGCTCAAAGGTAGTTGCGCTTCAGTTCTATTTCAGTCTTTCCTCCCCCCCAAATCCCCTCCACCCCTTCCCTGTCAGCCGCCTCTGATGTTCAGTATAGTTTGTCTAAGATAGGAACACCCAGGTGGGTATTGCAGAGGGAACTGGATGCTTGCACAATTAATGCATTCCAGAGTTGGGGAAGCACATCAGCCCGCAAAAAGATATGAAATGCTGCTGGAGACTGGGACAAATGGGCAAACTGGTCTCCAGAGGTTGCAGGCAAATCCAGTAAAGGAAATTCTAATTACAATGTGTAAAAAATCATTTGTTCCCAACTGGAAGAATCAAACAGGGTACCAACAGTGAGGCTGTGACATCTCCACCAAGATGTTCAAATGAAACCCTGTAGCAATCTAATCAAATTGGACCTGTTTTCAGCAGGGAACTGGGCCAAATTATCTCCAGCAGATCCTTCCAAACGAAATTTCTCTTTAACTCTGGTAATGCAACAATTTGTATTAAAAAGAAAAATAAATAAAGAAGCAACAAAAAATAACCCCCACGACTAAGATTAAAGTTGCCTCAGTGAGTCATGGACACACACTGCAAACTGCAGAAGTTCCACAGCTGAACAGACTATCAGATGGCTAAAATTATTTACTAACCACTCATTTTGAAAGCAGAAACTAAAATCATCACCGCAATCAACTCAATAGTCCTGCAGAACTAAATAACAACTGAAGCAAATTTACACGGCACTTGGATCAAAGGGATAGCATTCACGTCACACCTCAGCCCCTGGAAAATTAACTACTCAGACAAGTCAGTTTTTACAGCTTTCTTTTTCTTTAATCCCAATAAAGCAATACATATCTTGTTCAATCACTCTCAGATATCCAATCCTCTTCCTTTAATAGAAAAGCTAAGTGAAGTTGCTACTGTCAGGTGACAGTCATACACAGAATGAAAAAATGTAAAGGACCAACAAAATTTAAAAAAAAAATTACAATGATTTCCATTCACTACAGCCTTCAAACTCAACATCCTTTGGTGGTACTTTGATTCACTTAACTCTCAAAAATAATCTTGGACTAGTCAAGTAGTCAGGAAACGCAACAGGAAAGAACATAGACAGTGATCAACAGAGAAAAATAACTGACTTTTTATTAGCACTTCAACAATTATCTAGTGTTCCATGATAAAGCATGTTAAAGAAAACGCTGGTACTACTGATCCAAAATAACAATACGGGTTTTTTTCTGAGTACAAATGAAAATGTTCCCCCTCCCTTTTTGCTGTTCTTTTAAAAGAAAAGCTAGACCTTTTATTAGCTACCTATGAGCAGAGACATGACGCATACTGAAGCCAGATACTTTGAGTTTGACAAGAAATAAATGAATGCTTTAGGACATTAGATCCCTTAAAATCCCTTTTTTTTGTTTAGTTGGGAGGGAGAGAGATGAATACTTMTGTGTCTTACCTCTTCTCCTTTCCCTCCCACATTTTGAAGACCTGAAGGAAAAGTTGAATACAGTGAAATCAAGAGGCCATACACACTATATTCAAATATAGTTGACACCATGTTTTAAATTAAAATTCAATTACAAATTCAAGCCTTTTCATGCAGTATACAACATATTAAGATTTGCATGATAATTTTTATGTCAAATTATAGAAAAGACATCTGCAAAAATGATAGATCTGCTATATATTGTTACATTTTTAATGTATTACCTATTCAAAATCTGTGTTTTAAGCGATATTCACATAAAAACAGAGGTAGCCAAGAAGAAATACTGTATCTTATATGAGGTCTCTGTGCATGGTGTAATAAAAAAAAATGTTTGTTCTAGCAACCAAGATGGATTAATTTCAAGACTTACTTCATCATTGTTTGTCTTCTCTAGATATGAATGCTTTCAAACACAAGGACAGTTATTTAGCCTAAAGTTGCTAAATCATTATGGAAATATTACAAATCCATGTTATTGGACAAATATTTGAATTTCATTCAAGTATACCTAATACAATAAAACTAAAACAGCAATCTATGTCGTAACTTTGCAGGACTTATTATGGAAATTAAACAGTGCTTTTAATTAGATTAATAAGAAGTCAAACAATCAAGTCTCTGGATTTTCAGTTTAGTATGATTCTGTGCTGACCAAACAATAGCTTATTTAGAAAAATTCTAATGAACTCCAGCATCTTAAATATAGAAGGAAAGAATGGTTTGGGTTGTAAGGTACCTTAGAGATCATCCAGTTCCAATGAACCCCACGAGCAGGGAACCTTCCACTAGACCAGATTACTCAGAGCCCCATACAGCCTGGCCTTGAACACTTCCAGGGATGGGGAATCCACAACTTCTCTAGGCAACTTGTGTCTGTGCCTCACCCCCTTTACAGTAAAAAATTTCTTGCTACCACCTACTCCAAATCTGCCCTCCTTCAGTTTGCAGCCATTTCCCCTTGTCCTATCACTACATWTTCTTGTGAAAAGTCCCTCTCCAGCTCTCTTGTGGGCCCCTTTTAGGCRCTGGAAGGTGCTAGAAGGTGTCATAGATAGATGCCTTCTCTTCTCCCAGATGAGCAACCCCCCATCTGTGTTCACAGGACAGGTGCTCAGGCCCTGTATCAGCTTAGTGGCCTCTTCTGGAATCTTCCAACAAGTCAACATTTTCCTTGTGTWGGGGTCCCAGAGCTGAAGACAGCAATCCTGATGGGATCTCACAAGAGCAGAATAGAGAGGGAGCATTCAGAAGATTTTTTTTTTCACTATCACAAAAATGTTAATTAAGAAAGCATCACTAAGTTTTAAAGTAGTAAGTACAATTCAAGATCTAAGTGAACAAACTGAAACATTGTGGTCCAAATTCTGTGAGCAGATCAGGTATTCAAGATGTTCTCCTGCACAGAACTGGACCATATTTTTTCTCAGACACTTAAAAAGGCAGCGACTGGAAAAGGTGGAGAATTTAGCAGCTGCTTAAAATAGTTAAGCAGTGCAAGTAAATGTACATTTCCTTGTCAGACTTAAAGATCATTCGGCAAGTGCTTGATATTTTGTATTTCATTTAACATGTGTGCACCATAAAAAAGTGGAACCGTATTTTAAGGAAAAGTAACTTTCTTAAAATGTTCCTGATTCACAGCATCCATACAATCCCCAAAAGAAAAAGAACATTATGCTTAGGTCTCAAATTATGTAAGCATCTACTTCAGAGAATGTCCTGAGTTTCAAGGGACATAGAAGGATTTACTTATGCTTACATCTGTTAGAAATTTATTTCTAAGTTTTGATGAAATCAACAGTTGCATTGTCCATACCAGCCAAAAAACAGCTTTGATGATAAGACTGAATACAGTTTTGGCACAATATTTTTCAGTGAATTTCCATGACAGAAGTACAGACACTAAGGAGGAGGAAGCCAATAACTACTTAAAGATGACTAGGAGTTATTAGTTCCTTCTTGTAACAGCACAATATTGACCTTAAAAAGAACATTTCCATTCTTTTAAGCATTGTCTCATTGGAGATTTAGTTTGAAGGGCTAATCTGCCCATCTTTTTAAAAAAGTCTATATCCCCTGACAGAACTACATCTCCTAGGAGCCAATGCAGCCTTCTCCAAAAGTCAGCTGTCTCATGACAGTAAGAGATTCTTCTGCCTCTCATTTTCTGTGACCTTTGTGACAAAACTGTAGTCTGAAATATGAGTAGAATATAAATCAGTATTTAGCTTTGGTACGATTCCCTGACTTTGGCCTGCAGGGCATCACAGGTCTTCTTAGCATCTCCCAAGAGCATGGCAGTATTGGGCTTGTAGAAGATGGGATTGTCCACCGCTGCATAACCAACTCCCAAAGATCTCTTCATTACAATGACCTGCACATAAAAGAGTTCACATTTGAAGCAGCAAAACACAGCCACCATCCTTCCTCAAAGACAACACAAAACCAGCCTYGACCAATGAAGGAAGAGGAATAGACATCTCTGACCCAAACAAGGTGCTCACTGCTATGAAACTGTTTTTCAAATTTTAATACAGCACATAAATTTATATCCAGAGCAATTTCAGAAACATTTTACTGTTAAACACAATGTTATATGCCAGATGAAGAGATTGTGGACATTACACATGCATTTACATTGTTCCATGTAACAAATTCAAAGCAAGWTGGGCAATAATGACTACAACATTGAAGGATTTTGACCTTCAAGAAACCAGTTCGCTGATAGTAAAACACATTCAGGTAAGTGCTCACATAAATACTTGGTGCAACAGTCTCCTTACTATTGATCTGCATTACTTCATACACAGGACTTACAACAAAATTCACCCTATTCATCTAGCTATTAAAAGTGAAATTAGTTAACTTGAATGGATAACCCACAGAACAACTGAGGCCATGACTGCATTCAGARCAAGGTATCAAAGACTTCGTATCAAGGAAACAAGTATTCAGAGCAAAACCATTAAGGTAAGGAAACTGTTGGTTCAACCTGGACAGTCTAAGCTCTCTACTCAACACAGCCACACATTGTTATGGCATTTGGTTTGGGTCTTTTTCGAGGAGTTGGGAGGGAGGGTATTTGTTGGGTTTCAATTACTATTTTTTAAATTTTATTTAAGAGCATTATTCATTCTTGTACTTCCACCTCAGTATTAAAGTTGTCAGCTATAAACTTTAAATAAACAGGTATTCATACAGTAATGTTTCAAGGCTGAATATGGCAGCAGAATGCCATTTATTCTAATCATACTCTAGTAGAAGCACTCCAATTGATCTTTTCTATTGCAGCCATCATTAGTCTCACTAAAGCATTTGATGATGGTTATAAAATCATGAACAAGTGCAYCACTTGCACAGCACCAACTGTTTTGTTGAACAACTTGGAAAAAAAACTTCTTGTGGAAACCAGTATAGGAGAAGAATCTTGTTATCCTATCCTATAAACAATGTTTTTAAAAGCTTGTTAAAGGTAGGTGATAGCTCAATTCTGTTAATCYCACCTGTTTGGACTTCCAGACCTCAAGCACAGGCATTCCAGCTATGATAGAATTCGGATCTTCCTGAGCTGCTGAATTAACTGTATCATTGGCACCAATTACAAGGACCAAGTCAGTTTCTGCAGCAAGACAAAGAAAATAGCACTGATGAAAAATAATCTGAAAACTGAACACTCAGGCTGATGCAAATTTTTGTGTTAAATCTGTTTTTTGTAGGCAGAAGAACCCCTAATTTAGAGGAGGTTTAAACATTTATAGAGACAGCATGCACAAAAATATTTTACAAACTACTCAGGCAAATAATATGTGAGAGTTCAAATGCACTGTCAGCTGCCTCTAACAAACTGCAARTGTCCACATCTCAGTTCCAAGGGTCTCATTAGGCTACCCTGCCACATAAAATTTAAATCCTTCTGAAATTTAAATGTGGTTGAATAGACACAGTATCATCACTTTCAAATATTTTTGTGCCCAGCTCTTCTTTTGAATTTTCTTCTGGAAAAACCTTTTACCTTTAGCAACCTTCTGCCTTTTAAATAAAGTTGCAAGAAAGCAAGAAGTTGACAGTACAATTCTACGCAGGTTTGCAAGACATGACAGGTCAAGTCATCCACAATACCTAATCTAAAGAGGAAACAGTAGTTTCCTTCTGTGGGGACAGAGCAGTAACAGAGATAATAAAGATACAGCATTTAGAATTTACTTGACAGCTACAATCAATCAAAAAAAAAGCTTCCCCCCCAACCTCAATTCCACCCTCCCCCCCCCAAAAAAGACCTCTAGTCCACTAYAAAGAGAAACTGAATGGCTTGACTTTAAAAATCCCTGTGCAATGCAAAAACAGAATCAAATAAATCATCCAATCTACTGGAAACTCATGGCCATGTGCTTACCTGGGAAGTCTTCATTGATTTCATCCATTTCCAGTACAATATCATAGGGAACACCAGCCTCTGCTAGCAGTACATTCAGCTGACCAGGCATACGGCCAGCCACAGGGTGAATACCAAACCTAAAAGGGAAGAAACCCATTAATAAATTTGGACCACTTTGTTTTATACATTAAAATTGTCACTGGTGACTCACATGGCTGAGAAGTTCTTAAGTGTAAGCACAAATGACAATTAATAACATGGAAACATTAAACTTTACCAGCTCCCTTCCAAGCAGTACCACATTTCAAACCTTGTGACAGAYACTTCTGGACTCTTACAAACAAACTTTTAACGGCAAATATTAATATGCTTTAATATGCTTTGCAGGTCCCTTACATGACTAAAAACACCACAGACTAAATAAAATTGCCATGAATAAGGCAAGAGACCACACCACCTTTCTGAAGATAAACCACTCCTGGAACTAGAAATGCCCTTGGCAAATTACTTTATTGACCCAAGTATTTCTAGAGGATGTACAAGAAATACTTGTATGAATTAACAGTTAAAGAAAAAAATTAGCAGAGCCTCTACTTCAAGCACAGGACAATGCTTTGCCCAATTATGTTAACATGCCTCCTTCTTCTTGTGATTGACCTTAGGAGGAAAAAAAAGGGGGCAAAAAAAAAAAAAAAGAGCAGGAGTGAGAAAGTGGAAAGCAAAGAAACTGTAACAGTTTAAGCATAAACATTTTAAAATATGTTTTCAGAACAGTTCAAAAACAACTTAGAGAAATAACTGCTCATGAGTTACTAAAATCTCAGACAGACAGACAAGTGGGCAGCTGGGATGTTCAGGCATGCATGAACATGCAGTTCCCTAAGAGTAAAAGCCTGAAAAAGCCAGAATGAAGATGTTAAACTGGTTTAGCTGCAGCCACCAAAGACATATTTGGCTAGAAGCAAATCTGTTTCCTTTTATTACTCTTCTGATCATCTACTGGCCCATACAAACAAGGCACATCCATGTCYACCATCCTGAGCAACTTTCTGTCTTTTCAGCTCTGGAGCTATCACCAGATGGAATGCTGGCTGACTCATGCACACTAGAAGTGCCTCAGATGAACAATTGCATGGGGCTGAAGATAGATGCTCAATTCGGAAACCTATATATACTTTGGAAGATAAGGAAAATAGTCAAGAAAAAAAACTGGATTTTTGAGTTCTTGGATTTTGGAACAGAAATTCCTGAACAGAAATCCAAGTAAGTCAGGAATTTAATGAAAGTACTTGAGACTTCTTCAAAAAGGAAAGAAAGACTAATAAACCAACTTGCCATGACAGATGATTGTCACATACTTCTATTTTCAACTCCACTGTGGTGGGAATGGATAACACATCACTGATGGGCCACAAGTCACAGCCCAATCAACACAGATCACTTGCGAGTTTAAGACTGTTCAAATACAACCTTAAAAGGACAACTGAGCACTCCATCATCAAGGCAACATTAACACAATACAAAATTGAAACAATTGGAACTCCAGCAACAAAATTAATGACATATGATTAATCCACATAACCCTAGATACAGTTATTACAACTGTAAGCTCTAGGTCAAATGGTAGGATATAAGCTGGTTTTAAAAGAAATACTTTTAAAGATTAGGGAATAGATTGTATAAAGCTAGTAAACATTTGGGATCCTGTTGTGCAGGGTAATACCTAGATTCAGAAGGAGAGCAAATATACAGCACAAATTACTAACAGCTTACATTTCACATCACTCACTCAGTAACACAAGCCATGTGCAGTACTGCAGATAGACCTTAAGTATACCAAATTCAATCACTAACAGTACAGTAGGAGAACTCTTATTCTGAAGTAYCCTTGAGAAAACTCATCACTCCTCTGGCAGTGAAAATAGATTTTCCAACAAAATTCTCTTTTGTGTCTAATAAAATTATTTGAGTGCCTTTGTGACCAATGCTGCTTTGGCAATACACAAAACAAAATATTCGTGAGGTTTCTATTAAGTACTATATACACATACAATCTTAGTTCAAGGGCTGGAAAGCCAAAATTTAAGCTGCCAAGAGAATGAATTTCACCTTTGACTTCACCATTCCTGGCAAGAGGCAAGGAAAGAAGAAAAGAAAGGGACAAATTATGTCCATTCAGGAAGAGTTATGGCATGAACCATCAGTAGTTAGAGACTTCTGACAGACTCTGCTCGAAACCACATACTGCATATTCACAAAGTTTGAGAAAGCTGCTCATACAAAAGCTTTTTTGGACAAATACTGAAGTGACTCCCAAAAGTCTGATTGTAAGAGTCTGTTAACCAAATATGACAGTAGTTTGCCAGTACTGCTCAAAATTGGATGTGCAAGAATGTCAAAAAGAACAATTTAAAAATATAGCTTCTCTGAAGCTCTCATTATATCACAAGGTAACATTTACACACTTTTGGAGTGAAATCAGCCTGTCCAATAGAAAACAGAATTCAGAATTCAGGTAACCATGGAAAACAGACACCTAAAATCCTTGATGGCTCATAATGTGTCTAATAAAAGCAGCAATCTTGTTTCCAACTCACAATAGCAGCAGTTCTTCAGTGATGTGCATTTCAGTAAGAACATTTTGTTACATATGCTCTCTCAGATGTTCATAATATGAACCTCCCTCACATTCAAAAATTTAACACAGAATTATTTTAAAAGAGAGACACGATAAAAATGGTTAAAATGCTTTCAAGCGAAAAATTGCCAAGTCTCTTCAACATTCTTTTGCCATCATTTATGCAGGAACTCCCTTAGGTTGGTTTGAACCTAAATCAAGAAGAAATCTTAACCCACAACACATAGTCACAAACATGTTGTATATGACTTGAAACACTATTTTGGTATTTCACTGAATCACAGGTTTCACCACGAATTTTTCCTTTTGACCCTTACATCATAATGTGGGGCTTGCTTACCACCAACAATTGTCAAATTTTGAAGTAAGTGTACATCCCCTTGCTACTCACACTTCATAGGGAAMCAGCATGAGGCAAGGACACTCAACTTTTTTAACTTGATTCTACATGATACTTTTTCGTTTTATAAAGATAACACAGCACACAAGTTCATATTTTGAACTCTTTCAAGTAATACAGAAAGTGTGGCATTTTACTTTAAATTTAGACTACACAAATCTAGAACAGCACTTTTAGCACAAAAAAATAACTGGAGTTGAGGGTATAGAAAGGACTGAAGGTGGCGCAAATAGTATGAAGTTAGTAATATCAAAAGACAACTATAGCATGAAAAATTACTGAAAAATCTCTGAATAGAAATTACTGCATGAAAGCAGCTCATAAAGTCAGTATATATCTTTAGTACAGCTGGCTAGATAACATTCCGTTATCAATACTGAAAGAGCTGGCTCACAAGAGCAGCACCTAACCTAGTGCAGAAGTGTTTCAGGATCACTTCATCCATGTAAAGACAGGATTCCTGTAATTAAACCAAAGCTGGGCAGAGCAAAGTTACATCTGGCTGGTTCCTAATTTAGCTTACTCAGCCCCTCAAATGCACTATTTGTCCAAGGCTTTTGCCTCACTTACAATTCCTCACATCTCATTCACCTTATTTAGTCACCTCTCTGCAGCTCTGTTTTCAGTACAAACAATACTTTTCTCTAGGTAACAGCAAGGGGGTGAAAGCGTCAACAAGCTAGATGGACAGGGAACTGCATCATTCTGGTATTCCACAGGTTGAATCCTGCCATGTAACAGTTGCAGTGCAGCATGACTTCAGAGCAACACAGTATCATGTTCATCACACATACGGAGACTCTGTAGGTTACAAGCACCAACACACAGAGCTAGCCTAGCTAGCTTAGACCTGCTGTCACGCCTAAGGCAACATAATGTCCCCAGAACCGGCACTACAGCATGGATTGAGCTTGGTGGCTCTGCTGCAATCAAGTCCGTTAAATTTGAGTTAGACAGCTAAATTACACACAATTAAATGAGGGTTGATACTGGCTTCCTGTTTCCACCCACTCTGGTTTATGAGAGCAGATGGATCTGGAGCAAGATCCAGACGGACCTTAGCTCAGAGCAATAACCTTCCCAAGAACCCAACTACAGGCAAAAAAACAGAGCCTGCTTCCACAAAGCATGCTACACTGACCTAGAAAGGCCATCCAGAGGTGAGCTGACCCTCATGGAGCCAACAGCACACCTACAATATTCCCCAAGCAGCACACAGCTACAGCTGCACCCCTGCAGAAGTCATCAGGTACTCACTGCTTGCTAGCTCTAACTACATCAATAAAGCGCTGGAGCTAAACAGACCTGTTGGACCCCAACTGTTCCTTCTTTTGCAGCATTAAAAGTAATTCAGAACCCACACAGTAAAGCTAATTATAACAAACCCAGAACTGACACACAGGTACACACTTTGTGTTTTTGTATGATGTGTAACTCAGCATCCCAGAAACTCGCACACATCGTTCTTATGCTGCCGTTCATCAGTGGCAGTAATTTCCACCTTGCACATGTGAGCTACACAGTGTATTAAGGCTGCTTGGGACTGCATCTTAACAGCTTATCCTTTAAAATTCTTCTAGATTTTCTTGTAGAGCCACAACAGACGATGGCTTTAATATGATACCATGAACAGTTATAGATAATCCACCTTATTTATAATTTGTAGATAAATGTGTTAACTTGTACCTATGCACATGCTCTATTATTTTCAAGAAATTAGAACAGAGGAGAAAAAAAAAACCAGAACCCTAGACACATTTGACTAGAACTCAGCCACTGAGGTATGAATAAAAATTTTTTTAAATTAAAAAACATAGGTTCAACACTAAGTTAATATTACTATTATTACGACTACTAATATCATATTATTAAAAATGAGAAAAAGTTATTCTCATGTGTTCAAAAGTAATTACATTCTCCAGCATAAAGACAGAAATCCAAGTCCTTCAAGATATCTACCCAAAAAAGTAGGTTAAGAAAACCAAAACAAACGCAAACATTAACTTATTATCAACTACTTTGAAAGGCTGTTAAAGAGGGGATGAGCATGTCTCTCAACCAAGCATTACCAGAAAATCAACTTAGTAAGTATGGAATTATTTAGAAAGTCTACACAAAGCATAATTTTAAGAGTCCTTCCATGCTAAAATTCATTTTTCTTATCAATAACATCTTACTAGGCAGGAAAACAAAACACTTTGATAGAAAATGTCTCAGGAAAGTCATATTGTGGTAAAAACTAGGACAGTTAAGTTGGTGTGGACATGGACAGCATTGACAATTGATGCATGTATGAGAATATACAGTTTTAGACTGTAATTACATCTCTGTATACATAATTATTATAGAATATAATTTCATTATATAGAAAAAGTCAGAATTTCACAACCAGGTTTCTACAAACAACATAACATGTGGCTGATGAACTTTGGTAAGGCAAGAACTTTCAACAATTTACTTAGCTCTAACTTTGCAGAAATACAACACCAGTTGTAGAACAGCTATTTCCTCTCCAAGGCCAATAGATTCTAGGGGCTATGGGATTTAGCCTATAAAAAGTTTTGTTGTTTATCCATCCATGACAAGGGAAAGCTATACTCAAGGCTCAGTAATATCCAGCTTTCTCTGTGACTTTACTAATGCATTAAAGATGTGCTTTGCTGCAAGACCATCTCAAGTGAGCAATGATGTTAGCTATGCAACTGAGTAACTAAAACAGTCTAAAGCTTCCAAAAACTCTCCTGTATTTCTAAATTTAAAACCTAGTCAAAGGTTACGCATCATGTTATATAATCTGAATTCTTCACTGAGAATGTTATGGCTATAGGCAAAGCAAATTAAAACAACAGCTTCTCTGGATCAGTGGTGAGCCATGAAGCAAAAAACCAGACCATATGACAGTCACAATTTTTCTTGGCACACAATGGGCATTGCAGACTGATGCAATGCTGTGTCCATGCTGGCAGCCCTCCACAGCGTGTGTGTGAGTGTCACTACATCTGGATGGTGAGTGTATTAGGGTCCTGAGGCACTCCAGGCCTACTGAAACCAGAGGACAACAGCTGCACTCAATGAACACCATGGGAGCTCAGCAAAGTGATGAAAGGCCTGAATTACCACAAACTGTAAATACAGATTTATTTCATTAAAATACTAGGTAACCATGCAGTGATCCCTTCCTGAAATTGACTCATTTCAAGTACAAGCCATTTATTTCAAGGACTCATTCACTTTTCTCCCTTGCAAACCAACATAAAAGGCAAAAACAATTTTTTTTTTTTATTTCACCAAGGTTGGTCAAAAAAAAAAAAGCTAGCCCCCACAGAAGCACTGAAAGGAAAGCCAGAAGTATACGAGACTGTCATCGCATTACCATGAAAGGGTTTTTTTGTTGCACAACTAAGGCGACTTCAAACGCTTTAAGGCAATCTGGACACACACAGAGCTGTTGCTAAACATGGAGAACAAGGTGTGAAGATTCCTCCAGGAAGCAAATACACCACCACACACCCTAATTTCTCATGTACGCACAAACAAATACATCCATAAAGCAATTTTATAAGCAAAATTGCAAAATCTTGGTAAACACAAGTAATTGCTGCTAAACTCTAGAACTCTGCTGTTATCCAACAAAATGCTGCAACACACTGCAAAAGCTTACAAGCAACTTTTTAATAAGGTTGGAAAAGTAGTGGAAGAAAAATAAAACCAAAAAAACGCTAATTACTAGAGTACTGATTCCAAAAGAAAGTCACCATCTAATTGAAATAAACATATGGAAAGCAGAGAATGACTCTGGCTATCCAGCATCTGCCAAAATACCTTGTTTGAAACAAAAATTGAATCTCAATTGATTTAAAAATACCCAGTTACTATAATTACAAAACAAGCAAATTTCAATCAATCAGCAAGAAGGACATAATGTTTGCTTTCCAGTACTTTCTACAAAGTACTGGAAAGTAGAATCTACAAAGTCTACAAACAAAATGAAGGAGGCAAGGATGTGAGGCCAACACTCACAACCTAAGAATTATCTCTTTTTGGAGCAGCACTCTGGGAGAATAAATTTATGAGACTGGAGACATGCACTCCCATAATCCTTTCATGCAATACTCAAAGAACTCTAATAGCAGTCTTCCTTGCAATAGCAAAATCTTAAGGGAATCCCATAAGTGTAGGTCTAAGTTGCTTAATGGAGTATCCACCAAAAGTGGAGAGGCTGAAAACTGGGATTCTTCAGCCTGAGAAGAGAAGGATCAAGGGAATCTTATCAGTCTGTAAAAACACAGATGGAGGGCAGTAAAATGAGACAGACTCTTCTCAGGGTTTTCCAGTGAACGGGCAAGAGGCAACAGATGCAAATTGAAATATGGGGAAAAAGCAGTTTTATGCTAAGGATGACTGAACTTTGTAAGAAACTGCCCAAAGAGGCTGCCAGTCTCCATCTCTGGAGACAAGATATTCAAAACCCAATTGGACAATATGCWAGGCAACTTGCTCCAGATGATTCTGGTCTGAGCAAGGGCTGAACTAAACAATACAGAAATGTCTTTAACTTTGCTATTCTGCACCTCTGTAAATGCTGAAAGCAATATTAAACCAAAACTAAGACTTTCAGAGTTTTAAAGGAATGAAGAAACCAAACCAAAGCAAAACACCTGTAAACTTTTTCATCAAGGAAAGTACTTACCTGACATTTTTCCCTTGCTCTCTCAACATCTTCACCAGATCAGCTATTGGGTACTGAGCTTTTGCTGCACACAAGCCATAACCTGAAAGAGTTTCAAAATTTTAACCTATTATCCTGTTTTAGTACAGAAATCCTATTTGCAGGAAATAAGTGTACCTTCCAGACAAAGAGAAGCTTTTATAATTAAAAATAAATAAATTTTTAAAATACATGCATATCAGGTTTCATATATTCACAGCCTGACAACTGTAATTAATCTCTTTTATGATTTCCTGACCACTTACAACACAGTGATTTGACCAGTCAAACTACAAAAGCAACTTATTTCAACTTCACAAAATGAAATGTCCCTTTCTCTACTCGAAAAGGATATTTCAGGCAGGTATTTTGAAAAATTTATGAACAGATTGTTACTAGGTTACTCCACAAGCATTATCCTCAACAGAATTTCAGCCTGCATAGTGCAAATCAAGTAGCTAGATATGGCTTTTAGCAGCAAGTAATTTTTTCAGTCTTTCTGTCTGAACTAAATCACCAGAGCAACTAAACCCAGGAACAAAAATTATTAATGGCACCCTCAAAGCTGCCAAGGAGAAAGAGGCAAACTCCTTGAAGACAATTACAAACGTCACTAGAAACAAAGGTAACTTCCCAAATTAAAACCCTACCTCACTGATGGTCTTATTTTAAGCAAAATGAAAGATGACTGTATTTTAACATTTGTCACATTCCAGTCCTACAATGAGTCTAACACAATAGTCATGCCATTCAGTTGAAGGAGAAGTCTTCAACTGTCTCCTACCTGAGCTCTCCTTCAGGGAATGTGCAACTGAACAATATGAACCTACAGCAATATAGTAGTTTCAGATAATTCATGTTACGGATTTCAGGTTGGCTTCTTTTACTTTAATTACGGAATTTATATCAGGTGTGTTTCTGATGGGTTGTTTCRTTTTTTGGGTTTTTCTTCCCTTTTTTTTCACAAGCCAATGCAGAGTTGAGCAAGTACATGAGAAGTATGAACAAAATCCTGTCTTTCAGGAAGTTAACAGACATGAATTGATACCACTGGCAGAGTAGTAGTGCTTGGTAATTTTCTGTGAGGTGTTGTGAGGTAAGCTTAATTTACAAAAGAAGTTTTTGTTCTGAAGAATTTAAAATGCAAATAAAAAGGACAAAGTTTGAAGGGACATACAGAAATAAAACTGAAGTGGCATACATCTCTGCACACAGGAATGACAATCAACCTGGGAGCAAGAACAAATCACATTGACCCAGTCAACATGTGATATGCTGCTGCCATGCTGCAACTTCAGGCTATATTTTTTTGGTTTATTCTGCATTTTTGTTTAGTCGGGGTCTTTTTTTTTTTTTATAATACATTCTCTGAACATCTTGCTGCATAGGAGTGTCTTACCTGGGGTAATAATAATACTATTGGCTTCTTTGATCATTTCAACTGCATTGTCCAAATTGATTTCTGTGTGAGTTCCAGTAATTTCCATGGGCTTCCCACCAGCTGTTGACGCAGTGCCATAGCCCCCAAGAATCACGTTTGCAAGGGAACGGTTCATAGCCTGAAAGACAGGGTAATCATATACATTTTAATCATATAAAGATGAAATCAAAAAATAAAGGTGAGAGGCCACAAAGAAAACTTCTGAAAAAGTTTTCTGAAAATATTAGTCTTCTTGACAATAGTTTTTATGTGCTGGTTTTGCCTTCTTACAACCCAAAACCTCTTAAAGCAGGCTCTATGTAAACATAGCAATTACCGAATATCAGCTTTTTGTTCTTAAAAAGGAGTAATATAAAAGAATGCATATTTGATGAGAGAATTTCTAAAAATTATTTTATGATCATATATTCATACACGTACACAAAATTTTTGCAAGATACTTTCCATAGTTTTTAACCAGTTCAACACGAAAGCACAGCACTGCTGCATGACAGCAGGGAATCCACAAAGCTCTTACAGGTAGTACTGGAGCAAAAATCCTACAGCAACAAGACAAGAAATCACAAAAGCAGCTAAGTAGCCACACAAAAGCAGTCACATTGTAAATAACTGAAGGGGCCATTAACTTACTGGCTGACCAGCAAATGAAAATGAGAGTTTTTAACTAGGAGCTAAACTAAGAGAAGAACACACCCTGAAAATCTGGCTCCATTAGACACATAGCCAGGAAAAGCCACAAAATTATTTCTCTGGCATGCCTACCCAYGACTGTGGTCCCAAAGCAATATCTGTCAATAACTGGAAAAAAGCTTTCGAAGAAGGAAAGGAACAGGATAAATTACCTATTTAATGACACATTTCTGTCATACATGTCCTGTACAAGCTGAGAAACCATGAAAAACTTTAGGAAGGGATCTGGAGAGACACACATAAAAGCACATCTGGAGTGTGCTTCCAGATGTCCATTCTCCACTGACATTTCAAATCACACAATTACACAGGATTTTTGCCACAGTCTAAGAAGATGTACCATTCTTTGAAATTCATTATCTAGCAAATAAGCAGAATGATGATGATGTTAGAACTTTGGTTTTTCCTCGCAAATCATCACAATTTCAGATCCTGTAGGGGAACCGCACAAACACAGTGAAATCGATATCTTTCTAYTGTTTTCAGTACACAGTAGTTCACACGCCCTAAGAACCCACACTGCAGCAGTAGTGTGCCAGGTAAGACAGCCGAAACAGAATACCCTGTTCAAATGTTGCACATGCCAAGCTTACAATAACTAAAGCACTTTCTACACATATCTAAACCAAAAGACAGTANAAAAAAAAAAAAAAAAAAAAAAAAAAAAAAAAAAAAAAAAAAAAAAAAAAAAAAAAAAAAAAAAAAAAAAAAAAAAAAAAAAAAAAAAAAAAGAAGATAAAATAATATTAGAAATCTGAAAATCAACTAAAAGCAAGCATGAGATTGAAGCACCCTTGTCTGGTTCCACTGCAAAGAGCCAAAGAAGAACTCCCCTTCCAAGAGAAAAAGTGGAAGATACAGAAGAGGCAAGACCTTATCAAGCAACAGTTAACTAATGTAGCTAAAACCTACTCAGCACTGCAACAGTGTGAAAACTCTTCTGTGGCCTCTTTCACTTTCTTTACCACCACAGACCACAAATACAGACATATTTAGTGCAGGCTTCATCAATCACTGATAATCCAACAATCAGCAAAAAGTCCCAAAAAGCCCTCTGTACTATGCATAGACAGATAAAATAGGTCAGGGGCTTACAGACCAGGGAAAACCAAACATTTGAATCCTCCAAGTGTGCTCACAGAAACCACACAGCTAGTACAGATGAGTGGCCAGCACACAATGTGTAAGACTAACACAGTTTGTCCCTCAAGCACTGTTTCATCTGCCTAGTTAGTGGTTCCACTTCAACCTTAAGTTTCTTCCCCATCCCATAACATTCTAATACCAGGACTGCAATCATCAAGTATTTCCTCTGGGGGAAAAAAGAGGGACAAGGACATGCTAACCATCATGTGTTCTGAAGAAGATGTTTTGCACTKGTGTCTGAGAAGAGTCACAATTCACAGGATGGGCAAACAGTACAGGCCTTTGCTTTTTGGAGTTCAATTCTCTGTCCTTAACTCCCCCTACGTATAGGTACAAAAGAGAGGTGGAAAATCAAGCAGATACGAGGACAGAAACTAAGTGGTTATCTGAATGTATATCACCCAATTTCATCAACTGGAGCTTTAAGAGATAAGCTGGACTGCCTTTGGATGATTAAGCAACAGGTTCATCACAAAACATAATCGGAAAAGGTTGCAAAAAATGAGGTTTCAACTACTGAGATATTTCCAGGAATACCTTCTCACCTGAAATAAGTAAGTATCAGCAAATATACTGGTTTTGACCAAGGTCATACTAAAGGGTAGGAGGGGGGGARAAAAATGGAAAAAAAGGAAAATAAAACCTTGCTGCATTAGCACAGGCTGMAACACCTAAAGCAGAATTTATTGGAACTGTTAAGCATTTCTTTCTCCTAAAATGCAGCTTCAAGACAATGATACTGAATCCCCTGATTATAACAATGCCTTTAAAAGTAATGATTTCCATTAAAGGAAGTAAAGCAGGAAAGAAAAATGCTGGGCTAGAAGCAAGTTATTCTACTTATTGTGCAGAAATAAAACAAAYTAATTTTCATTTATTGGTTGATGAACTTTAGTTGCCTAAGCTTATATAAAGCAGCACAAGATTTCTTGACTATTACCTCAAAAACTAAACTTCCTGAACTTTGAGAAACATAGATGAAGGCCACTCTGTCCCTGCATAATTATTTTGCTAATTTCTCCCCCATGCTTCCTATTTACCTTCCTATTTACCTCCAACCAGCTTTGCAASTATTTCAAAGCTCTCTTGTGAGTGCTAAGAGAGATGGGCAATATTAAGAAAGGAACAACACAGTGAAAAAAAAATGAAGATATAGATAGATTACTGGTAAATACATACCAAACAGTTTCTATTTCCCTAAGATTTACAAGAATTTAATCTTTCAAGAACATCGTTTTCATACCTCTTAACTATAAGCATCATTTTTCTACTGATACGTCCTAAATACCTGAATGCATACAAATAAATATATGAGCTACCTAATTTGATTTCCTTTTGATAAGGAGACAGAAAATGCTCAAGAAAGAACAAGATTCTTTGGAATTCATATTTCATTAAATTCACTTTCATGTAGCTGCACAAAAATACCTTTATAAGTTTTTCTTAAATTCTTCCTCAAGAAAGATGAAAATGAATCATATTGAACATTCCCAACATGGTAAAAAATATGTTTTATCAGTGGAGACAAGGTAAAAGATGACAGCCAAAGCCAACCAGAGGAAAACATCAGATAGGAGAACAGCAGCACTGATCACATAAGAGCACTAGGGTAGAAATTAAAGCGGATTACACAACAGAGAATCAGAAGGCTGTCAGCTATTGCACTGTGAACAGATTTCTTTATACCATTACMTTACCACCTCTGAATACTTCGTAGACTTTTTTACAAATGTTCCAGAGAAAAGGGGGTGATTACTAATAATGCACTAGAACTCACACACCGAGTTGAAGCTCAAGCTTGCTGACACAAATTCGCACCAGCACTGAAATCATGCAAGCCTGCTGCCACCCAGTGGTACTGCAAAGTAGCTGCTCTGAGGAAAAGAGCACACYTTTCTGCACTCCGAAAACCAAACTGTAAATTAGAATCTAATCAACAGCTTTGTAAACGAACATAATACTTAAAGCATCTCTTGCTACACATTAAATTGAGCTTAAATTTAACCACACTTCAGAGCTATATGACTAAAAAATAAACAGCTCAGCACAAGTAATCATACTTGTTTGAGCCCAGATCCAAACCCTCAATAYCCAAGTCAATGCAAGGGCTTTCCGCAGTTTTAAGACATATACCTCATCAAACCAAAGAAAAACGACTGACATCTAGTCCAACAGTTTCAATCAGAATTTTCTAGTCTATAAACACCTAGCAGTTTGAAATCCAATGGCTTATCTTAAGAAAAAACATGGTAAAAATGTCTTTTCATTACTCAGCAAACAAGAACACTTTCTGTTGACTTCTTACCACACACATGATGTAAGAAAGGATGGCCCCAGAGGAGCCGATGAGTGCACCAACAATGGTCAGCAAGTTGTTGTTCAGGAGAAAGCCCTCAGCACACAAAGCCCATCCAGAGTAACTGTTCAGKACGGTAATAACTACAGGCATGTCAGCACCTCCAATGGCTGCTGTTAAAGTGACACCCTGGAAAAAGGAAAAAAAACATTTCAATGTCAGCAATGACTAAGAATGCCCAGAAAAGACAGACTGCCTGCCGCACTGGAAAGTAAACATAGAATCGTAGAATGGTTTGCGTTGAAACGAACCTTAAAGATCACCCAGCTCCAACTGCCCTGCCTTGGGCAGGGATATCACACACTAAACCATTTTGCTCAGGGCCCCATCCAGCCTTCTCTTGGGACACTTACAGGGATGGGGCACCCAGAACCTTTCTCGGCAAGTATCAAGTTACTTAATAACCTATTCAAGTATTTTCAGTGAAGGTACAGTTATCAAAGCTGTGGCCTGAAGATTGGACTTACCAATTCTGCCTTTTTAGAGAGGACAGGAAGGTACCCCAACCATCCTCACCACGTGTTTAGTCAAATATTTTTACTTGCAAAAATATCCTACCAGCTCCATGGACCTGTTCATACCATTAAGGGATTAATATTGAGCAATCTTTTACACTCAATTTACTGAATGGCAATATTCAGGGTGAATTTTGCTACACTGGTGAGTGTGAATGGGGGAAGTTTCACATGTGTGTAATCTTAAGTTATCCTAATAACCTGTAGATCCAGAGCTCCTTTAAGTATTTTAAGGATTAAATTTTTAAAACCTGTTACAAAATATTGCTTTGTCATATATAAAGTTTCATGAATCAATAGCTTCACAAAGTAATTATATAAATGCATTCCAGTCCTCTGGAACAGTTCTTTTTTACACCTAGATCTAGAAAAGTCAGTGGCTACTTGCTACAGCAAGTCACTGCACTGGCAGGCACCATGCCCACTGTGACTCAGGGACATAATCCTCAGGAGGAAACGCACAAAACTGGAGAATAAACTCCTCACATGACTTGTTTCACCTCTTGCAATTCCTCAACTCACCATTATGGCTGAGAGTGCTGACACGGAACCCAGACAAGTAATTCCCGTGGTGTAACTAGGATCGATCATGTAGGGAATMATCCCACCAATGCTGGCAGCCAGCAATCCTGCATTCAAAGCATGTCGACCAGGCAAGAGCAGAGGAGCAGAATTCAGGATACCTGCAAACAAATGCATTTTCAGAGACTGACATGTACATCCAGGGGAGCCTGTTTCTTACCTTCAAAGAAGACTGAATAACTCAGCAAAAGAAAAATTAAAAACAGAAAAAGGAAGGGACAGAAGATAAAACAAGTTAGTTGAAGCTAAGACCTTGGGCTGACTCAGAATTGCAACACATTGAGACTTCCTCTAGTTTCTCAAATGCTCCTATTTAAACCCATTTTACTTCCTAATTTCACTGAAGTGCTCCAAAACAGTCAGAAAAATATCTTCTCCTTTTCAAAAGCCTTTCTACTTTTTCTTTCAATAAAAAAGTCCTTTCACTTTGTCTCCCAGTCTTTGTATGTTGTGCACAACATGCTGCAGTAGGAAGCTTTTAGTTGGAACTTCTACTCAGCTATTGCCCCAGTCTCAAAAGCTGTGTTCTTAGAAAAATATGACTATACAGATAAYGCCAAGTATAAAACACTCCTGCTTTCAAATGCATTAACTTCATCTCTACCCTCAGTCACACAGAACTCCCACAGCCTCCCACATCAGCAGAAACTTGAGGAGGGAATGGGGGTTCAGGAATTGTGTGATTCTGTTTAAAAAGACAGTCATTTATTTCATACAAGACTTTTTTTTTTTTCCAAACAACATGGCAAAAAGTTGAAACAATGCAAGTTTCTCAGTAATGACTTGCATCAGAAATAAGAAGAGAAATGTCTCATTTAAATGTAGCTGAATTTGAGGGAAAGAATGAACTGATGGTCTCGGACAGGGGAGTCAAAGTGTGTGGCTTACTATCCTTTTCCATAGTACAGAATCAGGAGTTCAGTAGCTTCATATTTCATATCATGATGATATGAAAATGCAAGGGAGAAAAAAATAAACAGAAATAGGAGAGCAGGCTCAAACAGGCAGTGAAGTTCACCAGGGACATGCGCACAAATCACTGAGGGGGTACAATGGAGAGAGAAAAAATAACTGAGAAGAAATAGATGAGTAACTATTTAGCGGAGATACATTAGAAATACATACTACTGACAAATCCTTCAAAAGATTATTAGAGAAGACAGCTTTCCATCCTTGTCATATTTCCTCCTTCAATGGCGGGTCTCACAAACACTGAAGAAAGCAAACAGATGTTTCCCAAAGGAACTATTGCAAAGTTAACAACAGGATTAGTAAGAGGAAGCTCTTAGCCTAAAATTCTTAGTACAAGTATTGCTTCACACTCTCAAAAGCTGTGTGCTTRCAAAACCAAAAATAAATGCAATAAAGAAACCTTCACATGCATAAGAATCAGGAATTAGTGAGTATTTAACTTCAAAAGCATATTTGCTAAAACAGTAAGAGGTATGGAGCATGGAGGTTGTGYGGTGAGTAAATAGTGAACTAAAAGGTTTAAAGTTTAGCCTCAAGTAATACTGCAAGCAGCCTATATTAATGAAGATTGCAATGTTAAGAACAAAATCGTAGAAGTATTAGCACTGAATCCAGCGACACAAGTATTACAATTAAAATGTCTGCTCAGAAATAAAAGTTCAATAAAATCAGTTTAAGAAAAAGCATCAGGTAGTATCTTAACACCAAAGTAAGATCTATTTCTAAACAAGATGAACTGAGGTAAAGTTCACATGATTTCATAATGAATAGTAGTAGGATACCCAAGCACTGAGGACAACCTTTTGTAAATAAAGCTGTACACAAATTACACAGAATTAGAAACAAAAAAGTACACATTAAACATATAAACCTTTACCTGATTCAAAATACAATGTTTCTTTCCAATTACACAGCCGTCTAGAAGTATAGCTAAGTCCTGGGGGAAGAAAAACCCTTTGACAAACACTTATTTATCAATAAAAGGTCTCACCTTGCAGTTTTCCATACGCAACGAGAGAGCCACTGAAAGTCACTCCACCAATGTACGTGCCAAGATAGGCCACAATCTTGGTGAGGTTTGCAGCAGGATCAGTGGCAAAGTGAGGATATTCAATCATGTACTCTGCTACACAGGTGAGCACAGCAGCCAAACCAACCAAACTGTGGAAAGCAGCCACGAGCTGGGGCAGATCTGTGATCTGGATGCGTTTAGCGATGGTCAGACCTATTGAGAGTTGAAGACAGAAGGGAAATCTTACACAACACAACCAACCTCTTCAGCTAGGAATTAGTACAGGATGGTTCAGTGTGCAATGAATACAAGCCTATTCCAACTAGAAACTGCTATGGCATTGAACTGAAGGCTGGGTATGTGTATTTTGTGCAATGGGGACAACACAAAAGAAAATATGTTCTTCATGTTTGAAGAAGCTGCAAAAATTCATTGTTTTCTGTGACAAAGGCACAGCGTGAAAAGCCTTTCTAATGAAAGAGGGAATTTGGCAGTATTTGATCAGGAACTGAAGTATGAAGTTGGGCAAGTTCATTTACTTCTGAACACTCAGTTTCTCCATCAGAGATAATGTTCTTCCACTTTTCCATCTATCAACCCATTCTTTCTCACACTGTGAAGCATTAATAGAAGCCCTGAAAGCTATGATATTTTATTCACACATTTGCAAAATTATTTTGGACAAGCTAAATGTCAGTTGATTCACCTGTGAGCTATACATTATTTTATGTATACACAGCTTGCATACATGCATGCATGGAAAAGATTGTTAATTCATCATGCACATACCTATGGTCCCACCAAGTGCCATTGCACCTGACATCTGTGCCAGCAATTCAGGCGAGGGATTAAGGCTTCCAAGAGTTGCAGCTAAACCTCCTGCAACACCAATCATACCCAAAGCATTTCCAAGACGAGCTGTTCCTTGGGTAGACAAACCAGCCAGGGCACCAACACAGCACAGTCCTGAGCCTAGATACATTATCTTTAAAAGAAGAAGACCATCAGTATAAGGTAGTGACAAATTGCATTGCTATTAAAAACATCTCTGATTATTACACAAAAGGGCTGATTTCTTCTGAATGCGACTTTAACTTCTTAAACAGAATGTGTTTAAGTTACAGTTCTTAACTGAAGTCAAGAAACTGTCATACAGGATGTGCTTTTAGCCAATTAAAATGTGATATCCATACACACTTTTCCCCCACTTGATGACCTTGCTTCATCTGCAGAATGAACACTAAACTAGAGTCAAGGCAATTTTTCTCACCAGTTCAGAAGAAATCTTTCCTTTAGCTCAAACCCAAAGCYAATCAGTCCAGTTCATTATAGGAATCATTTCAGAATTTGTTATGGGACATTTGAACTAAGAAATAGTTTAGATAGTTCTGAACCACCAGCAATGGTGTGGCCACTAAAACTGATTATACCCCTGTACTCAGCACTGGTGAGACCATGCTTGGAATTCTATGTCCAGTTTTGGGCCCCTCAGTCCAATAAAGACACTGGAGAGAGTCCAGAGAAGGCCAAAAGAGCTGGCGAAGAGCCTGGAGTGCAGGTCTGAGGAGGAAGGAGTTGGAGACTCTGTACAACTCCTTGAAAGGAAATTCTTTTCTATGGAAAGTGTAGTCTAACATTGGAACAGGYTGCACAAAGACATGGTAGAGTTATCATCCCTGGAAGCGTTCCAAAAAACATGTGGATATAGCACTTGAGGATATAATCTAATGGTGAACATGGTGGTGGYGCAAGGCTGACGGTTGGATTTGATGATCTCAAACCTCATTTCCTACATTAATGATTCTATGATTATTCAAACTCAAATGAACTGAGCTATATATGTCCAAATACATTACAAGACCCTGGCATAACAGTAAGTTGGGATTCATTCTTTCCAAATGCACAGGGCAATACAGATTAATTTTTCTTACTATTAAAACAAATGCAAATGTAAGTTTACTATAAAAGGTTCTTTAAAAGGTGCAATGAAAGGTAAAATTCCTGTACATCCCTCTGTGCTGACAACAGGTCCCATCATTTTTTAACTAAATGTAAAATTGAACTTGCATAAATGTTTAAACTAAAGACTGATTTCTGTAGTTACTCTATTATTTAGACTGTAATTTAGGAAAACAGTCCAATAAATAAAAGCACCTGCTACTTTACATGAAACCAAACAACAACAAAGCCTTTAAAGTATGTTAGCTGTGTGACTACAAGCTTACAGTTATTCAACTTCAGATTGGCCTTGTGGCAATACGCAGCTGACAGAAAGACGTTGGATTTTTTGTTATTTACTCCTCAACAGAACAGGCATGAAGAAACATAACACTGAGGACTGGGTTGAGAGCCATAAAGTTATCTTCTTACTTGTTCAATGTTATAGCCACCACTGAGAGCGGCTGCATAGCCTCCTACAAACACACCACCAGGGAGCAGGTACAAGTAATTGTACTCAGGAGGGTCTGTGGGACGCTTGAACATATCCAGCATTCTCTGTGTAACTAAAAAGCCACCTGGAAAAAGTAAAGGAGCAATCTTAAAAAAATTCAGAATCAAGCATATGCCAAGACATAGAAGAAATACTTAGTGATACCATACTGCCACATAATTTAGCAACTGACACCAATAAAGTTAGTAACCTAGAAAGTGACCAAAAAACAAAGGAATTATCAGGGTTAGATCCTGCTGTCTCTTTTAACCTTTGGAAGAAATTCAGGAGGACTTACTCTGGCTCCATACTCTACACTGATTGTAGGATATAGCTTAGTTTATGGCTGTGTTCTTTTCCCAATCTACTCTAGCAAAAGCAGTATTTGTAAGTCACACTGCTCACTTTGTTGTCCTTTTTATTATTGAAGCTGGGACTTCTGAAGCTCAAGGTAGCAGAATTTTGTTCTAAGCCACTAGTAYATATTTCAAGTAGGAAAATTAATACTAATACAAACCCACTACCATTTTGGAATATAAAAAAAATATATTGCATATAATCATCACTCAAAAGACACTAAAATAAAAAAAAGCACATTCAAATATTTCCCTAAAAATGGTTACTCCACAGGGTATGCAAACTCCTTACAGTAACTACTATGGAAACTGGAGGTGTGGTGCGTTTTTACTGATAAATGCTCCATTCTCAGACCAGTATTTCTGGAATTATACAATTAAAGGGCTAGAAGAAATTTTAAAATTATGCTAGTGCTTGAAGTTACCCTTGGGAGAAAACCTAACATTCATACCTGCAATATTGACTGAAGAGATAAAGGCTGAAAGTACTGCCAGACTTTGGGAAGTGTTTTCAGGGAGATAGTGTCCTCCCATCAGTACCAGCCCACCAACTGCAGTTAGACCTATTTAAAAGAGAAAAAACATGTTAGTGGAAAAGGTTTCTGTGTAACTTTAAACAGGTCTATACCTACAAGAAGTTTCAACTGTGGACAATAACTCAAATTTTGATCCCTTCTTCACACATTAATGCTTAAAGGAAGACTACTATAGTCTTTTTCAGGAATACAAACATGTTCCAAAATAAAAAAATAGTATATGAATGTAGTTTTGAAGAACAGTGCCTCAAGCACAGATTTAGCCAGGTACTTGTTTAATAAACATTGCTTTTAACAACCAAAGCAGATCAGACTTGATGCGACCTGCCACATATAACCACACACAGATATACAAAAATTTGTATTTTTACAAGAGTAATAAGTCTTATGGGTATTTTAGGATTTATTTTCTTTTCCCCCCTCTCTCACAACACATAGTTTGAGGAGATCAATAAAATAATGTAAAAAATATGAAAGTTAAGTTATTTTCAGAGCAAACTTTTGGAAAGATGGGAGGAACGTCATGGTCTATGAAAGGAAACTACAGCACTCCAAGTAAAACAAACCTTTAAGCAAACAGGTCAAAAGTGAAAAATTACTTACAAAAATTAAAAATAAAGAGCAGCACATTTCCCTTTTTTTTGAGAGATCATACTCTCAGAAAGACAATATTTCAGGTGTCCTTGCTATTCACAAAAGTAAACTCAAGTATTCACAGGATACTATGCTCTTTGGCATTCTGAAAGGTGTATTAGCAGACTTCGGTCTAAAGTTCAAGTAAAAGGAGCTGTGTCTACTCCAAGCACATAAAAAGCAGCCATGTGACAGCTACTTACCTGAGATAGCATTAGTCACAGACATTAACGGGGAGTGCAGAGCAGGAGTCACACCCCACACTGTGTGGTACCCCACTATTCCAGCGAGGCCAAACGTYGTCACCATTTGTGTGAAAGCAGCATTAGGTGCCACAATGCCCAGCCCTAACATACCAGCTAAACCTAGAAGGAAAGCACAGGAAAACTGTAACTTTTCAATGTCTTCTTACATTGAAACAACAGGAGCGTATTACTGACAAAAAGCAAAATGGAGTTCTGTGCATGGACTAGTTTCAGGATCCRGGGATCATTTTGTCAAATACAAAGTTCTTTCAGTGCTAGTGTTTCTTTTACAACAGAAAATAAAGCCAGAAATATAATCCACCCATACTTGTTAGGCATGCAGATAATGCACCAAAAACAGGTTTCTACACCAACACTGAATTCTGTCACTCTCCTGTTCTACAGAAAAAAATTTAGAAGTCAAAATTATGTTGAGATATTATTTGGAAGTATCAAAGCATATGAATGAAGAACAGGAACTAAAATTAGGACTACTGAATTCATTAATTACTTCATGCAGAAATTCTGATGCATTGAGAGTAACAAAGGAAATTAAGAGCTAATACTTATTTGTCAAAGCACATGTCCTATTTCCAGTACTACAGCAGATTGTGGACATTAAAGTCTCACACAATAGAGTAAAATCTGAAGAAARCAAAGGCATTGAACTGATTCTGCTGCAAAATATGGGAACAGTCCCTGGCAGGAGTCCTTCAGAATTTTAAGCACTTTACTAATATTTAAATAAACCCAAACACATACATATGCACAGAGCATGAGTCAGCACTTGTCGAAATGTTAATGCTTTTGATTAAATTTTTTAAATTTTATTTTCCCTCTCAAGCAATTTTTATGCTACACTGATTTTGCACCAGGATACACCAGCCAATCAACTGCTCTCCCAAACAGTTATTAAATTGAACAAGTTAGATGATGGGTCGCTTAAAAGTATCAGCCAAATGAGAAGTACTCTACACTGATTCTCCAGCTCTGGAAGTTGCCTACCTGCTGTGTATACAGATGCACTAGTCATGGTTTTTCTAAAAGGTGTAATAGTAGCTGCTTTTTCAGCTTCCAGCTCTGCTACAGTCTTCGGCTTCACTGGTGCTCCTTGAGGAATGTTATTTGGTGGAGGTGCTGGGAAAATCACCTTGCCATCCTGACAAGAAATATTTACAGTTATGCCTAACATGGCAGATACTCAGTACCTAGAGAAGCCTTTTCTTCCTAATCCTGAAATTCAGGCAATTGCTAACACCCTACAGTCATGCCCAGGAACAGGTTCCTTTTCTGCATTAACAGAAGTTTGCAAGGCATGATCTAGTTAATCATACTGGTTTACATTCTTCAAACAAGATTTGATATTTGTGTCCAAGAGCACAGGGTGAAGAAACAGCATAAGACTCCAGAGCAGAAACAAGAGAAAAACAAAGACATAAAATTCCCTAAGTAGACAACATTCATACCTCACACAGGTACCAAGTATGATAACTCACACTTCTTGTTCTTCTCCATGACTTTGAGGAGTAATGGTAGAGCTATCAGCCCTGAGCTGTACACACCATTTCAGTGGTCTGGGAGAGCTGAAGGCAGTGCCCTGAGTTTTTATTACCTTCTAATGTTTTCTGCATATTCTAGTTTCACCATTTTTTCCTCTTACTATAAAACTTATTTTAAAAAAAGGAAAATAATATTGTTCTGGTAGTAAAGTCTCAAATATGTTTTAAGTAGCTGTGCTTTTATCACATGAAACATGCAAACTTTTATCTTCTTCCTATTYTTCAATAGTAACTACATTACATTTAACCCTTACAAGAAGACAAAACTAAAAAGGGACAGAGTARTACTCAGCTGAATAAACACACAATTACCCATAGCTCCATCAAGCCACATCTCAAATCTGAACATCTCTGAACACGTCTTTGAAGAGATCATTATCTTTGAACATATTTTGAAGAGACAGAAATTATAAGTGTTARGTCTGTACTCACAAATAAAGAGAGTATTTACTGTCTTACCTTCATTACTACAGTTCCTCTAATAACATGGTCCAGAGTCCCATAGTCAAAGTCATCTTTTGGATCAAAGTAGAAGTTCTCTTTGTCAGGACTAATAGCCTTCAGAAGTTTGATAATATTATTAGAATACAGAGTACTGGCCTGAGTAGCCATTCTACTAGGCAGATCTGTGTACCCAATGTGTGTAACACCCTGAAAAAAAATCCAAGTGAAATAATAAGGATTTGAACAATCTTTGAAAAAGTATCATCTCTTCTAGCATATCCTTCTTGAAATATATATCCAAACCATTTCACTTATTTCTGTTTATAATCCCAAGTAAATCTGCAACCTGCAGTTCTGCCATTAATAAATCAGGGAAGGATTACTCACAATAGCTACAGAATCCAGCATGATCAAATCCAAAACCTTAAATTCTAGTTGCAGCAAGACTTAACAGAGAGGAAAGCATATCAGTGCAAGAGTATGCCCTCTCCAATAYTTTCTTTAAGCAATAAGGTAAAAGATTAATCTGCCCAATGCTTGGCATAGTCTCAGTTTTCCTGGAAGGCAAGCACTGGAGACAACTTCTTATATGCCAGTGGAGTGAAGAGAGCTCCCTCAGAGCTGTGCAAGCAATATGTCTGAGTTCCTATGTATGTAAAAATGTAACATAATATATCCTCACTATTTAAAGAACTAATGAGCCTGGCTATCAGGCTTTAGGAAGCAATCGGAAGCTGAGGCTGGCATACACTGTATGCGGTCAAAACCAGGCTTGTGTTAAAACACTGCTCTCACAACCTAGAGCTAAGATCCATTCATGCTTCCAGTACTCTGGTTTCTTAATGCAATGCTCTGGCACAATCTTAATAGTTCAGCACTGCTGCTATTTTGACTAACACAGAGCCAGTACACTAAATCCAGGAGTAATACTCCTCTGACTAAAAGTATTCCACAGAAGCTMTTCATACAAGTATGTGCTTACTTCTCTTCCACATTCTCTAGTTTCAGGTTTTAAGCAGTGACATCAAAAGCCCTAGAAAGCCGCAAAGGCAAATGCAACATGTGATTCTTCAATATATAGAAACAGAATTCTGCTTATGTCAATAACAACCATGACAGCAGTGYACTACAGGCTTCTCAAATAGCAGTATTATGTCCTTGCATTACCAAATCACAGCCTAGGAAATCTGCTACTATAAATCTCATCACCAAGATTTCTAAAATTGTTAGCAGATTTCCCATAACCACCAAAAACAAAAGAGAAAAAGCAGAAAGACAAGTTCTCAACTGAGCAAAAGAACACTGGAGTAAAACCAAAGTACTTCAGTCCAGGCCATAACTGCTTACTTTAATGAACCAATTTGTGCTACATCTAGTTTGGGTTCCAAGCGCTTTGGATACTCTGTGGGAGACCCAGTCATGTTGAAGACAAAGATAAGCAAAGCCASCCTCCTGAAGCTGAAATAGTACTGAGTAAGCCAGAGACTTTGCACTGAAGTGAACACTGACAGCCTGAACCTGTTCAGCTTTACCTAGTCAGGGAATGTTAACCTCCAGCCATGGGAGGTGATAAGCAAGTCAAAGAACCAATTGCCACAGCTGTGTCTTTTAGGCAGACCAAGAAATAGATATCAAATCCTGACTTCAACTCAGAAGAGACAAACACTGGACTTGGAAGCTAAGGTAGAAAGCATCCTCCAATATCCATTAACAACCAAATTAACTCTATACCAAAGTGTTAGTTTCTTTAAAAATATTCAAATTGATGTACGTAGGAATAGAGGTCAAATGCAAATCTAGAGGATTACTTCAGCCCAAAACAGCTGAAAGAATGTTGTAGATTCAGCTACTCATTTCAAGCATACAAAACATAGTGGGAATTCAGGCAAACCGAGAATGAACTGCAGATTAAAATGCTCACCTTATGAACATACATTTCTCCAGGCTTTGTAGTCTCAATATTACCCCCTGCTTCTGCAGCTAAATCCACAACAACTGAACCTTCCTTCATTGATTCAATCATATCTTTCTTAAACAAGATAGGAGCCTTTTTGCCTGACAAGACAAGGCATAGCAAGTTAAACACAAAATACAGCTTTCTATCAGTTCAGCTCAGGAGATAACTTCTCTTAGCTCTATATATAAACTTCAATTTTGTAAGCAAAGTTTTCAAGCAATCATTACTTAGGATAAAAAAAATCACAGAAGGTTTGTTTATAAAGACAGAGGGGAGATGCTAGAACATCCTTCTCCAAAGAATATTAAAAAAGTTATTCATGTGTAGTCTACCAAAGATAAGTCCAATTCTGTCAGCAAACTTAAACAGTCTTAAAATCCAATCTTGCAATTCTAGTCATAACAAAACAAAAAAAACCCCACATCATAAATTATTAAAATACAGACATTGTGTAACACAAAGCATTACAATCTAAGCTCTATCTTACTATGTTCAGTTACAAAATACAGTACCACTTCAATCAGACTTGTTCCAGTGCACAAGTTGTATAGCAGAAGTAGCAGTGATGCAATAATTATGCCAAAGGATTATATATTCTTACTCTATTACTAGTCATTTATTAGCARCTTTATTACTATTACTTGCTTAGTACAAAAAACATGGTACTCAGTCAAAGACTGATAGTCTATGAAAATAAAAGCTGTAAAAAAAAACCGGCACACACTTTAAAATCAGGCCTTTATCACAGAAGGGTAAAGGTGCATGCTCACACAGACGCAATTCACTAATCTCTATTTTCATGCAGGTGCAACTCCAAAATATGCCAACTTACTCAGATAAATGAAAACCAGCATTTTTCTCATAAAACATACCTGGAATAAGTGCCGTAGTGATGATAATATCAACATCTTGGCACTGTTTGGCAAAGAGTTTCATTTCAGCTTCAATAAATTCTTTGGACATTTCTTTAGCATAACCACCTTGTCCCTCTCCAGATTCCTTTAAGTCTACTTCCAAAGGCTCAGCACCAAGAGACTTGAACTGTTCCAGGGCTGCAGCTCTAGAAAAAGAAAATTGTAGGGGAGAGAAAAACCACTGCTTTAAAAATACATCATGACTTTACCAGTGGTTTTAGTAGTAGTCTTCAGACAAGAGATGTAAAACTTATTCAAGAATTAATAAGACCATAACCAAAGCCCTCAGATTTCTCTATTTAATGAAAAAACTAATTCCATTGCTAAATTTAGGTTCCAATCAGACTTGAATAAGGAATGAAGGCAGCCTATGGTTTCCTGTATTGTCAGCAGAATTGCTCCAAGAAAAACCTCAAAGATKAGGGTTTCACTGCTGACTAACTCTCCTCATGCATTTCTCTTGTGACTTAATAAATCTACAGCCCAAGTTAGGTGCCTAAAATGGGAGATAACCACAGAACCCATGGCCTTGTCCTCACACTGTGAAATGGGAAGCACAAGAAAGCCTTATTTTCATAGAGAAATTTGCCAGGGAGTGCGTCTTTGTAGTTAAGGCTTTTTAACATTCTGTACTTTATTTTGTTTCATATGGCATCACAGTAAATAATGACACTAAATTTCAGTGTTAGGTGAACATTCACAACATGCATAGAATTAAACAGAAATGGTCTTGCATARTGTAAAAACATGTAGGGTGCTTAAGAAGGGAATTTAAAAAAAAAACCTGAAAASTGTTAAGACTTCAAAATGAAATAAAAAATTAAGGACTAATGATCGAATTAAAATGGTAGGAAGCAAATTATGATTCAGTGCAGTACAAATTATTTCACTGTAATACAGCCACAAACAATCTTAAAGTAATTTCAGATTGATATGACAATTTTGACACACCTACCTAGTATCAAATCCACGAACCACTGCCCCCATCGATTTTGCTGCTCCTGCAGAAGCCAAGCCAGCCACTCCGCCTCCAATGATCAAGACCTAGAATGATAAATCCCATTAACAGCTATTTAAACAAGATACCTTACAACACAGAAACCAAAATTACTTTGGCAGAGTTGCCCCATACGTCTCAGTTTAAAAGCTGTAACTCCTAATTAGACATATCTAAGAATCAACTCTTATGTRGCTAATAGTTCAGGTAAGTAAACACAGGTTTTCTCCTTGATTTATCTCCCTTTTTTCCTTCCCTAATTCTACTTTCATTTCTCTTCAACCCAATCTACCTATGAYTCCAATCAAGTAAGCCTTTCCACTGCACTCCTCAATGCACCAGAAATACCAATATCTCTGAATTTTCTTAACTTACTTATGGTCCACCATTTTGAAAAAAAAAAGAAAAATCCATCCACATATAGCTAGTCTGATGTTTAAAACTAAGCAAACTTAAACAAAACTCAAATTATTCCATTATTCCCAAAACAAAACCACTATAGATGTGAACAAAAAGTGGTGTGAGAATAATTACAGTGATTTCTGAAGTCTCTAGAAACAGCCCAAAGGCAGGAAAAAGGTCCTTCAATGGCTTCAGCAATAGTTACTTGTTCTCAGAAACTCACATATTCTTTTGCCACAGTATGTGTTTAATTGCACATACCTTTGCTGGAGGAACTTTACCAGCAGCTGTGATCTGACCCGTGAAAAATCGACCAAAGTGATTTGCTGCCAGGACCACAGCCTTGTAACTGTCAATCAAGGATGAACACATATCAGTATTTTCTCAGATTCAGTAAAATTCCRTTCACTGCATCAATCAAAAGGATGAACATTTGACCAAAGCACGTGTAGGATCAAGAAAGCTTAGTATCTTACTATTGAGCACAAGCTTTATAGTGTGTCTTTGTTCATATTTCTTGCTTTTTTTTTTTTTTTTAAATCATGGAATGTATTTTCAGACATAATTTCTGGACTGCAGTATACTGGATGGCTACAACTATTCAATCTTGCAAATAAAATTCTACCTGAAAATAAATGCCTAACTTGCCAAATTTAACCCTGTGGTCCTTAAAACTCCCTTTCAAGGCTGTAACCTGAGGCTTGTTAATGAACGGAGCATGAAAAARTTACTGCAAAACCCAGAGAAACTCTGTAGTTAGCTCACTTAGCAAGTGTACATTCAAGTATGGTTTCTGGCCCCTAAACTTTGCAGAGATATATGGATTAGGGCATATAACTTTGCTATTTCTTTTGCCCCATCCAAGAATGGATAGCTGAACACCAAGTAAACACAAGGAGATCTATCTGAAAATAAAGATTACTTATTAATTTCATCTTTTCTTAACAAGGTACATTTTCTTGCATTCTTACTAACAGCATTGTGGTTCAACAGTGACATTCCACTATTTTTCCTATCTCTAACAGGGATAAAGAGGTCTGTATGCCATGAAATTAGACAAATTCAAATTTGGAATACAACTTGTACAATTTTTGTATTCCTTTAAATACATTATGAATTGCTGTATTTTAGCAAAATTACACCAAAAAAAACATTGGGAAGTAAGCTAATTTCACAGATGCAAACTGCTTGTGTGTACAAAATCTGGCAGCCTTCTCAGACATTTATTATTCCTCACAGACATCATCTTAGTAGAAAGAAAAAAAAATACTAAATATATATATATATAAAAATAAAAGAAGCCAGGTTGACAATAACATTTTAATTCACTGAAATACCTAAAACACTAGTTGCAAAGCATGAAGATGGTCTGACAGTATTTGCTCTTTTGTTTGTTACTGCCATGGCAACTGCACTCACACTGAATGCTGCTTGCGTTAGTTAGCTYCTAACGACATTAGATCCTCCTGACAATCTGTGTTCAAGATGACCTAGCTCAGAGCAAAAAGACCCTGGACTAAACAGTCAAGGAATTAAGAGAATTGCCTTCAGTTTTGTTTATTTTAAAAGCCTTGCTCTGATCTGCTGTAAAGCTGACCRTAAGAAACTTTGTTAGTTTAGCACCTCCAACAGCATTATCCTGTCAAAAGAGCTGCATGAAAATAGAGATGTARAATCGTTTTAAATACACCTAATATCAAAACACATTTTAAACCAGCCGTACTTAGCGAAGCTGAAAAAAAATAATCATACCCAGCAATGTTGGCCATGGAGCTAAGCGCATCATATCCCTGAGCAATGGTGACCCGTGGAACTTGATCCATAGCCAAGACAGTAGCTTTCTTTTCTGAAAGTTTTTTCAGGAGGTCTGGATTTTGTGCTGGGTAGATAAAACTAACCAGGGTTGCGGCTGTCTTGAAAAGATCTGCCTCATGTACACCTAGAGCCGAGTTATATATTGGAGCCCTCACCTGAAAAAAGACAGAAGTTTCCAGTTTATCAGAGGAAAGAAATCAGAACATATTCCACTTCCTTYCTCCCAGCTTGCAGTCTGTCCATTCCCACATAAAAAGTACAGAAGGAAGAAAACATATCAAATGCTATTTACATAACTGAACTGATAACTGCATTTCTTAATTGCAGTCCACATCACAGAATTGGCTCTAGGTGGATTGATSACAGGGCAATAATTGTCAGCACACACCTTCAGAAGATCTGATGGCTTCCAACCAGCAGTCACTTGCTTTCATGACAGAGAGTTACCCTCAAACCCACCATTTTTAAGCAAAACGATTACTCAACACACATGACAATTAAGCTCTACAGGCTAAGAATCACTAATTAGGTTGCAATACATGACCACATACAGAATTGCACATGGGAATTGCATGCCAGATATCCAGCAGATACTGATCTTCATGTATATTCACTTCTGAGTTTTTCACTTTTCTTCAAAGAAAAACCTRCTTAAAAGAGTTGTTCACAAAGCAGTTCACAGAAATTCTATGTTCAATGCTGATGGGATGATTTCAAACAGAGCAAGTGAGGGAAGCCTCAATGTCAGGTTAAAGGTCTGTTTCTTGTTTTCCTTCAGGACTCTACACAACCTAAGACCTCTCAAGTAAATTCACTTTGAGCAGTTTTCCTAAATTTCGAAACACACTGTTGCTGTGGTATTCAAAAAAAGCTACAGACTCATATTTTTAAAATTTCAAACACTCTGTATAAAGAGTAACTAGAGTTATATGTTATCAGTTTTGGACAAAAGGTGTATTAGAGCACGCATTTCATCTGATTAGCCTCCAGAACTAGTCTACCTCACTCTAGAAAACACAACTCCTCCAWGGAAGTTAAAAATTTGCTAAGATACTTTCCACATTTTTTTTCAATGCTTTTTTTCAAGTCAATTAATACTTTATTAATATAGGTGCATATGCATACCTGAGCTACTAAATGAAAATACAAAACTTGAATCAGAACTCAAAATGGAAAATACTAATTTAAAGGACCTTATTTACTGAACTTTCCACAGATTATCAGAAAAAAATTACCAATACATTTCTCAAAAAAACAATGCAGTAGGAAATATACTAATAAAGTTATTACTTTCACAATCAAATCAGAAGCCAGGACTTCCTTGGTCCCCTGGATCTTTGCTCCAACTTCTCTGTAATGGTCATCAGAAAATTTGGAAGCTTCTCCAGCACCAGATTCCACCACAACATTGAAGCCTTGTTTGACCAAGGCTTGAACTCCAGCCGGTGATAGAGCCACTCTCTTCTCATTCTCAAATATCTCCTTGGGGACACCTACAGTCAGCTGTTTATAAGGAATTCCTGTAAGAGTGGCAGATAAGACATCATTAGTTATACTAAACACTAATTAATTGGTATTATGGACACTCTTCAATGTTGTACAGATACATGCAGACATGTCACAGTTAGCAATTCTCCCTCCTAAGGGAACAGAAAGCAGAATGCTATTTTCTAGGAACATTGTTTACATTTCCTTAAATTACATCATCTTCCTAGAGATCCTTGTTCTCTCAGGAATCAGCAGGTCAGCACAATCAGCCACACAAGCAGTAACAAGTGTTTGGTGCAGTTCATACCCATCGGCGTTTACACAGTTCTGATTGTGTAACTGGAATCCTGATTTACACAATACCTGGTGCTCTGGTGATAATACATGCTACCTCAGGTCAGAATTAAAATCAMTCTCTAGTCAATTCCACATTAGAGTGAAGAAAGAAATAAATGAGCTTGAACAATGAAACTGCATTTTAATTGAATATGTTTGTGATGTATATAAAATTACAGCTTTGATATACACTACAGTTTGTAATGYATATTGAATTATATAAAATCACTGTTACTGAATGCAAATACTTGTTCAAAGTACATTGAAAGGCACAACAACATCAATAAGCTACTCTAGAAGTTGCCACAGAAATGAAAAATGCAAATTCAGAAGTAATTGAAGAATAATGGAATATCGATCTACCAGCTTCTTCAAAAATACTTCTATTCAATGTTATTTCCTTGACTTCGATTGTTCAAAGCTCCACTAAGTAACACCAGGGGACTGCTGAAGCTAAAATTGACCAGTTTTATTTAAAGTTTTCAAATTACAAACATCTAACTTTGTTCAAGTACAATTTGGGGGCTTTCAGGCTAATGTCTGGGAGTTCAACTTCTCTGATCCAAACAAGTGTTTGAATGTATTATTTATGAATAYAAAAGTTCAAGCAGAATAATCATACATCAAGTTACCACATTGCTTCAAATACACTGACAGCATGCAGTCCAACACACAGGCTGAATCCTGCACCAGCTTTCACTGACATCCATCCAGAATTTAAACCTGGATTGTGACATTACTATGCATGACATTTACAGCACATTTATATTAATGAACTATAACTAAGCAGTCAAAGCACTCATATTAATGATCAAGCAACAACAGCAACAAAAAACCCATCAAAAAACCCCCAAACCTAAAAAAGGGGAGGAAGTGGATGACAGGCTTGTTTTTAAYCACAAACCTGCTTTTAAACTGTCCACACATACTACATATTGCTCTACAAAAAATTGTACCAGGAAAAGAATGCATATTTCAGGAAGRCTTCCTTTTGACTTTAAGACAAAAACAAGCAAAAAAAAAATCCTAAAAACACACTACAACATAAGAGTTTTGGGGAACTAGGTTTAAAATACCAAAATTAATTRCCTATGAAATTGAACTTGGACTACAATGTGTTTAAAGTTGACAATCTGAAATGTTTTCAGTTAGAAACTTTCAAGATACTGTCAACTTGTTATGTTTGGAAAAAAAAATATAGCATTACTAAGAACTGGTACTTAAATACCTACTTATACTTCTCATTAAACATAAAAATTGAACACATGCAACAAGACAATGAAAGATCACCAGACAAAGTTAATTACGTCTAGTTACTGCACTAGGGAAGGYTTTACTGAGCCACAGCAGATTCAGGATGGACACTAGGAAGGACTTATTCACTGAATGGGTGGTTAAGCACTCAAATGGGCTGCTCAAGGGAGAGAGCCAAGCACCATCCCTGCAAGTGTTAAAGAAATGACTGCATATGGCACTTAGTGCTATGGTTTAGTCTSAAAATGGTGTTCAGTCAAAGGCTGGACTGGATGTTAGAAGTCTTCTCCAACCTTAATGATTCTGTGATTCTACATTTTTTTTCCATTCTAGCTTTGTCTTTGAAATTTGACTAACAAAGTAGCAACAAATAATTTGAAGATGTGTTTTGATGTTTTATGTGTTGGAGAACATTCAACATGTATTTATCACAAGATAACACTCAAATTCAGAAAAACATACATTAAAAGAACATAAAATCAAAACAGGAGCAAGAACGCACATCTAAAACAACAGACCCACAAAGATAACAGCTTTGCAATGATTTGTTTCACCAGCATACACCAAATCTAAACATCACCGTGCAACTCAGGCCATACCTACCACAGCAGCACTAACCACTTGTTACCAGCTGTGGTAACTGTTGCTGTCACTCAAATTACCCTTGTCATTTGAAGAGACCTTTCTCCTCATCTCTTCTAATTACTACACAATAAAGTCCTGCTTCAGATTTTCACTAAATCAACTCGGTGGAAATGAGCTCTCTTGTCTTTTAGAAGCAGGAATGAAACCTAGAAGATTGAAATTTGTTAGGATAACAGAGACCAATCAGAATTTCAGAGAGGAAGTAACTCTAGKAGAGGATAGGATAGAAGTCAAAAAGCTTTTCAAAAAGTACTGAGAAAAATTAAGAACCAGAGTCCTACCTTCCCTTTCTTCTTTTGGAAGTTTTTCTAAAACGAGAATGCCAGCAGGAGGGAAAGAAGGGGGGAAAGAGGAGGGACAACAGGGTAAGGGAAAAACTAGTAGAAAAGRGGGGAAAAGGAGGGGGGAAGGCAGGGCAAAGGAGAATGAAAGGGGAGGAATAAATTATAGCAAAAAGGAAATAGATAACTGCAAATTTAAARACACAGAGACATATGACTAATGCTTTTATTTTTCTCAAGCAAGTCAATCTTAGCTCGTAAGGCTCAAATGACAATAGATGCTTCTGATTTCCCTTTGTTCATTTACTTTTGTATAGAGTACCAGAATAGAAGAGTAAATGGCTAGGAGGAACAGGAACATACACTCACTAACACCTCATTTCTCACTTCTTCCATTGTTACATCTTGCATGCAATAAAAATTATCACAGCTTTTTCAGAAAGAAAGTATTTGCACCTTGCTTAGTAAACAGAACAATTAGAGTCCCATACTCAGGACTATGCTATCCTCCAATGCTTTGCGAGATCAAATACAAGATGAATATACAAGTCTCATTTGCCTCATCTTCTGTCCACCTCTGTCCCACTACCAGACGTCCAGTAATCCATAAATACAGAAGCAAATGAATATATAAACAAACATATGTCAGTTTGCCAGCCTTTAGCTAGAGTAGGTATAGGACATTTTTGAAGTAGACTTCCATGAGCTTCCACATGATTCAGCACCAAAATGGAGCAGATGTCTACAGCTCAAAAACAAAGACCTATCTTAGAACTTCAGTACAGGACTTGGGAAGAAAGGGTTAAAAATCTGAGCACTGGCAAGGAGGATTGCAAAGCTCCCTTGCAGCTGGAAATAACTCTTGATAAGCCTGTGTGGACAGCAGGCCTGTGATGATTTACTGGTGCCTGCGTCTCAACTTGTTTTCCTCTGGTCAGGTGCTGCTTCAGYGATACCCCATTAGCGAAGCAATGGAAACAAGGTTACTCCTTGAATTCCAGCCATGATATGTGGATGTCCCAGCTGTCTGACCATACTGACACACACAACAGGGTATGACAAATACTCTGGTTAGAGGAAGCTTTGTAACTAACACAGACTTGGTTTGTTGAATTCAGCARTTTCACCAAAGTCAATAGTTTTAAAAGGCTGAAATTTGGGATTATAAACTTAGGATCTTGATTTAGGTTTTATTTTGAGAAAGCTCATCTGCTATCCCTTGCAAGGGTTTAAAGTTACATGAGAGTGTGAAGCCTCCAAATTGCCTTTTTAATCCCTCATGTCAGATAATCTCTTTAAGAACTGCCATGTGTATGTTTTAGTGACTTACTGCTTTATTACATCTTGGACATCTTCYAAATACTGACTGATATACACATACCTGGAGCTCCATTTTGAGTCATGAAGTTTTTTAATGCATTGTTTACTTGAGTAGAAGGTACTTTTTTGATACAGAAAAAAAAACCAACACGAAAAAGATTCTGCCACTATCAATAGCAGAATCACTAAAATCACAGGTATTAGGATGGAATATATACATTCCAGTTAAATGCTGTGGCATATATGTAACCTAGAAGTTAGAAAAACTAGTAAGAAGCCACCCATTCCCTTACTATAATCCTAATTGTGTAATGAGGACATAATCAAACTTCAAGTAAACAAAACTATAACAGTGTTAGCCACCCATTCCCTTACTATAATCCTAATTGTGTAATGAGGACATAATTAAACTTCAAGTAAACAAAACTATAACAGTGTTGCCACCCATTCCCTTACTATAATCCTAATTGTGTAATGAGGACATAATTAAACTTCAAGTAAACAAAACTATAACAGTGTTAGTTCTCCATGTAACTTCTATATAGTTGTCCATGTAACTTCTATCTACAAGAATCTTCGAGAAGATTCTAAGTTAAAACTATAGCAAAAACAGACAATGTTTTATCCCCTAAACCTGAATTTGGAAAGCAGTTTGCAACAAAATAGTAACAAAAAAAATATTGGAGGATGACTTAGGGAAAAGATAAAGGAAACATTTTGACTATATGCCACAWGCTCTGGGATTGAAAACAGGACGTATAACCTGCCTATTTTTTAYGTTACTCTAATAACCTTTAAACAAAACATCTCACCTGTTCTGAGGATGAGGACATATTCCGAAGAACAGCAATATGATGTTGGCAAAAAGAAAAAAAACAAATGGTACAGAAAATTAAACGAACACCTGATCCCTCCCATTACATAAGCAAGGAAATTTAAAAAAAATTAAAATAAATTGAAAGAAAATATTTCTTGTTTATAAATAACGTTAAGTGTACCTAGAAAATTAATTAAAAACAAACTGTTACAGGTTTGCAAAAAAMCAGGAAGTTTTAAGAAATAAGCATCAAAATAAAAAGGATATTAAAAATCAAAAAATAGAGAGGGGTAAAAGTCACAGAGCTGTAGGTCAAACTAATCTGACAGTATACCAGGAAGCTTGGAGTCAGTGACTCCATATGCACCTCACCCAGGGCTTCAGAAAAATTGCTATCTATTCCTGAAGCACCCAGTGATTATCTGAGACAGGTTACAGGAATACCTGTATACCCCTGTATGAAAGTTCCTATGTTTCTAATAAGCAAGCAGCAGCAAAAAGCTAACAGTAAGAAAACTGTCCATCCTCCAAGTCATCCTTTTCAGATGACTCCATATCTCCATATCTCTTCTCCTCAAGCAGCTGTTACTATTGCACATAACATAGCCCGGATGGAATGAAAGCTATGAGACAAGGAAAGTCATAACTACAGCCTTAAGTAGAATTATTGTGACTAGTCATTTCAGAAAACTTACTCTTACTAGTAATACAGTGACTTTACCAAGTCTTACTATAACCAAGGATAATTTCTAAAAGAATAGAACACAGCTATTTCGTATCTGTTGCATTTTGATTCAAGAGCACTTAGAAAGTAAATACAAGCCATAAAATTGCTTCTCATTTGTCATTTAATTGTTGTTTTATCCTTGATTTGTCCTCTACTGAATGACAAATCACATGCTACCAAAGCATACTATACGGACAGCTTAATTATCAACCAAAGGACTACCAAACTTGTAATTCTCCATATTAAATAACTGCATTTCATGAATACTAGTAATCCTTTAATAAGGGCTTCCACACAACACATTTGAAGGGGCAACACTGAATGTTTAAACACATGACGCTAATCAGAATTCTCCATTCTTGTGGAAAAATTTTTCAAAACTGATTCTTAAAAACAAGAACATTCACACACACTTAGTAGCATATTCAGTAATAGTAGCTATTCACACATAGTAGCAATTTCAGTAAAACTGAAGAGATTCCTCACTTTCATGATAAAATTTGTGGTCAAATATAAAATTGATTCCAAATGGGCTTACCTGTGATATTTGAGAAAGAACTTTGAACCTAGTTTCCCATGTTCCAGTTCATGCTCCCAACCAAGGGACAATCTGCCATATCAAGACTGACAGATGTCTCTTACAATCAGATATTTATGGGAATATATATCTATATATCTATATATATATACACATAATACATATATTCCCATATATACTATGGGAAAAACAACTAAGAGCATTGCAAATCAAATAAATTCTGGTTTCACCATGCAATTGTGATATGGATTATCAGGAGCCCTCAGAGTAAAAAACCTTCCTCCCATATTTCTTCTGAAGTTCCAAAATATTCAATCACCAGGTTGAAAGGACCACAAAATGCACCATTCACTGTTAGTTTTGCCACAAATTCTATGCAATACAGGCTTCTCAGAGCTACTTTTGAGTCCCATGTTTTCACAACCACACATTTCTGTGTCCAACAGCAGTACTTTCCGAATACTCTCAAGTAACCAATGAAGTTATCTACTGCCTGCATTTGGAAGAACTAAACATCATGTGTACAATCAGTCCAACTCTCCACATTAATCTTTTGCAGACTAAGATCCTAGATCTGCAATTAAGCAGGGTCTCCAAATTCCAAGGGACACACAACCCATGCAGTATTAATGGGCATTAAACCTGTGTTATGTATTCTTCAGTCTTCCAACTGTCAAGTTATGCATAGCATAGAACAGAGAAAAAAAAATTGTCAGTTCTGATCTTCATATATCAGGCTAACATCAGAAACTGGAAACAAGGTTGCCCCCTTTTCCCGCTTTTTTTTTTCCTAAAAATACATGAACTTGTAGGGACAAGTTGTATCTGCTAAAATGCAATTCTTGCAAGTACACTAAGAAACCCAACACATGAAGAGGCAGATCAATAGCTTTTCAAAGTGGTACAATGTAAGAGTTTCCTAAACAAATTCAAGAGTTTGTTTTTTTTATAAGATGGCATAATATCTACATATACTCATGCCTGCAGATCCTCTCTTTGTGAGGTCTGCATTTTCTCTCACTATATAAGAACTGCACTACCAAAAGTCATAGGGAACTCAGGCTTTTAACCAAGAAAAGCGTTTTTAAATACTTCCTTTAAGCAACGAACATCTCTGCAGGAGTTCAGACCTTCTAGCCATCAAAATTATTTGGATCATATTCATAATAAACATTTGGATCATATCCACAATAAACACAAACACCTTCTGCGTAAGCCCTATAAAGCCAGTCTAAAATTGTGCTGCAACTGATTCAAGCATGCTGCTGACATGATTTAATAGTGTTCTTTCTATTTTAAGTCTTTTCTGTACTAACGTGGATCTGAAAGAAAAAAAAAAAAGAAACTATTTATATTCATGTCTTAAAATAAAACATTATTTACAGTACTTTAATCAATTTACCTGGCTTTGGGGCTGCCTGAGACCCAAGCACCTGGTGGGTTCTAAACATTCGCAAGCAGAGCATATTTGCAGACGGCGCCTTTGGTGGGAACACATTGCCAAAAACAGGAGCTGAGCACCCACTGACAGCAACACGCAGAAGGCTCGCCATTGCACCCAGACCTCACAACAAATTCCTTGCCACGTATGGAATCCCTGGAGCAAATGTGGAAACAAAACAAGAGTTATTAATGACACTGGACAGAAGGTATGTAAACGCAGCAGGTTTAGGGGCCAGTCGACCGCCAGTAGCCACGAGACAATCATTCCTCACCCCCTTTATCTTTCTGGCTAGAAAACAAAATCAATTTTTTTCCAAACTAAGTAACAAAGCAACTGGCGGGACGAGCCGACCTGGGGATCGCATTTCTGCGACTCAAGGCCATTTTCTCTTTACACCTTTGTTTTAAAACAGGAACCGTGGCACGGGAAAGCCCCCAAGGCGCCAAACAAACCACTCCAATCCCAGCCAGAGCTCCCGCAGGAGTCACCCTGGGCAGGACACATCTTGCAGGAACCCAGGAGACTTAGCAGAGCACGCACTGGGAGCGGGACACGCCGGGCAGCAGGGAGGAGAACCGGGAATGTGCTCTTCGCCCGGAACCCCGCCGGGGCCCCGCGGCAGCGGCCCCTTCTCGGTCCCGCCGCTATTTATAGCCCGCGGCCACCGAACGACCTTGGGCAGGCGGCTCGTACCCCGCTCGGGACAGCCCGCAGCCGCGATCTCCCCCCGGGGCCGCTTCCCAGGCTACCTACCTGCCTGCTCCCGTGTCCTTGCTCCCGCGCGTCCGTCCTGCCACACTCCCTCCCTCCCTCCCTCCCTTCCCCCGACCGACAGCGGGACACCGCTGCCTTCCCCCCACTAGCGGCTGGACCCCGCACGAACCAGGAGAACACGGTGGTGGCGGAGTAGCCCCACACCATGCCGCGCACACGCTCCGCCCGCAGCCCCTCATAGAGCCCCTCACAGAGCTCCGCACAGAGCCCCGCACAGAGCCCTGCACACGCTCCACCCGAGCCCTGCACACGCTCCACCCGAGCCCAGCACACGCCCCACACGGAGCCCCGCACACGCCCCACACGGAGCCCCGCACACGCCCCACACGGAGCCCCGCACACGCCCCACACGGAGCCCCGCA